TTTTTCGGTCAGGAAATTCGCACACATTGCAAGAGCTGCTTGCGCAGGCGTCGTCGTATGATGAAGGGAGGGGGAGGGGAGGGGAGGGGCGGTCCGTACGGGCGCGTGGGATGCAAGGAGCGAGTTCGGGTGCAAAAGCCGGATATCAAGGGGAGAGGAGAAAAAAGAAAAGTAAAATCAATTTCTCATCCTGCCTACTACCGAGCTTTGTTTGCTTTGGGGTTTCGCCATGACGAAACACCTCCTCCCGCCCCCCCCACATGAGAAACATAGCTGAGAAACAAAGCAGGGAAACAAAGCCCCCACCCGGCTCCTCCGATCCTTTGAGGCTACCCAGACCGGGGCCACACGCCGACCAGTGCCGGCCGGATCCACACCACCGCGCCCTTCTCGTCACGGCGCAGGCTCGACACGTCAAAGCGGGGAGGGGAGGGCACTACCACGCCAGGAGAGACGAAGCTAATGATGTAGGTAATGGTTTCGAGGGCCGCCCGAAAGGGTTGAGAAAAGAAGCGCCGGATTAGGGAATCAAGGGGAGTAGAGAGGGATAAAAAAGTACGATAAAGTAAAAAAAAAAAAAAAAAAAAGGACCCGGGCACGAGCTAGAGGGGCAGTGAATTGAGTCATGACGCACCCGGGAAAGATGTACGTATGAAGGACAGCCGAGCGAAGGACAACTGAGTGGCAAGTCGTTGGTATCCAATAGTTTATTGATTTCTACTCTTGTTGCTGCCGGCATTATTGGCCGACATTTATCTCATATCATGAATTCATCCCCATCACCGAATTCTGAACTAAAAAAAAAAAAAAAGAATAACAAGAAAGCCTCGTGTTTTCATGACAAAAACGAAAATGAGGGAAAGAAGAAGAAGAAGAAGAAGAAGAAGAAGAAGAAGAAGAAGAAGAAGAAAAATTCATTGCATCCAGATGCACAGGGGCGGTCTTTAGACCGCCGAACCGACGGATCCCCGCCTCGCGCGGACGTTGTCGACGTCGCCTTCCATCTGTCGCTTCCGCGCGGCGTTGATGGCCTTGAGTTTCGCCGTGCCGAGACCGGCGACGCCGTTCTCCTGGTTGTCGCCCAGCCAGGGCTTCTTGGCGTCGCCGAGCATGCTGCCGGCGAGGAAGTAGGCAACCTGGCCGAGGATGATGAGCACAAAGGCGATGGGGTACATCCAGTGGACGGCGTAGCCGAAGACGTTGACGCCGATGATGACGCCCCAGAAGTTGCCCGTCAGCAGCGAGATGTTGTAGAAGGCGGCGCTGGCCATGCGCAGCAGCAACGGCACCAAGCTGTAGAAGAGGCAGAGGGCCAGGGTGTAGCCGATGAGGTAGCCGATGGCCGGGCCGTTCCACTCGGCCTCGCGGAAGGACTCGCGGTCGAAGATGGCGGCCTGGACGCCGTTGATCAGCATGCCCCACATGCCCATGAAGGAGAGCACCTCGTAGACGGGGCGGCGGCTGACGAACCACTCCTCGGCGACGTTGGTGACGCCGTAGAGCGTGGCGCCGAGCAGGGCAAAGAGGTCGCCCTTCAGCAGGTCGACGCCGGGACCGCCGTTGGAGCCGGTGATGTGGTCGCTGGCGAGCAGGACGCCGCAGCCGCCGATGGCGACGAGGATGCCGATGATCTGGAAGATCTTGTAGCGCACGCGGAGCAGGAAGAAGGACAAGACGATGACGACGACGATGGCCCAGAAGTTGAGCAGCTGGGCCGAAAGGATGTTGGTGTAGCGGTAGGCGAGGACGGTGAAGTAGTTGCCCTCGACGTCGAGGAAGGAGAGGATGAAGTACTTCCAGCCATCCTTGAGGAGGAGCCTGCCCCACTTGGCGAAGCCGTACTTCCAGATGGTGACGGGGAAGTAGATGAGAAAGAGCAGGATGTAGTTGAAGACGGTCTGGAAGGCCGGGATGGAGACATTGTTGTTGGCGAGGAAGGACGTGAAGGTGTTGGTCGAGGTGATGCACAGGGCGAGGATCTGACCAACGAAGAGGACGATCCAGAAGTCGAGCGTGGTGAAGTAGCTCCACCAGTGCACCTTGCGCGCCTCGATTTCGTGGAGGCCCTGGTTCACAAGCTCATCCTCGTTGGGACCGGCGGTGATCTGTGTTGTCGTCACCGGTGCGGCGAAGAGGTTCTTGGCGGGGTCGTCGGCAGACATGGCGGGCAGCGGCTCGGTGGCGTGCCTCTGGTGGTGGTGTTTTCGGCGGTCCTGAACAGGATGGTCTCGAGGCGGAATGCGATGCCGTGCTTGCAGCGATCTGGCCGTGTGGTTAGCCGTTGTCGAGGTCGCACCGGACACGGGAGGGTGGATGATCGTCCCGGTTGGGGGTGGGGTTTCGACATACCTTCCTTGCGCGCTAGCTCAGTCAAACGTGATGCCGTTGAGATGGATCGATTACTCAATATTCTGTATGTGTGTGTGTGTGTGTATTAGAAGCGTAGAATGCTTTACGGTCTTTCTCGTCCCCTGGCAACAAGCGCAAAGACTCCAAGTCGCCTGCTGTTTTGGTCTATCTCGCAATAGGGTGGCACATGTACCGATGCGCCGGGAAGTGGTATGCGAAGTAGATGGCCGTGATGGCGCGCAACATGGGACTGCCGTCGGAGGTTATGCAGCAGTAGGCTATATATATATATGCCTTTTGGGTATTGCCGCGCTTGACGATGGGAAAATCGAAATCGTAGCTATTTGAGGCCGGCGCAGTTTTGGTCGACACCCTTCTTTTCTCTCGGTCGCAAAGATGGGAGGAGGAGGAGGTGAGGGAGGGGTTAGGAATGAGCTCTATCTCAGTCTTTCTCTCTCTTTCTCTCTGTTTTTTCTTCTATCGGGGCGACATCCTGGTCATTCGGTAAGAGAAAAAGACAGGGGAAAAAATTTAAAAGAACCAAAAAAATTCCAGCAGCCAGTCGGTATCGCCAAGGGTTAGTTGGGTGGGTAGTGGGGAGCTATCGCAATCGCCATGAGGGATAGAGACTGTCCGCTCTTCTGACTGGTTCCGGAGTGCCAGCCCACCGCTTCCCACTGCTGCATCGCAACCGGTCCAGGCTGGCGGGACCGGCCGATTTCCAATGTTTCCCCGTTCTAGTGGACGACGCGCCGGCCGACATGGTCGTTTTAGGGGACGTGACCCCCCCAACCCCCGTGAACTACCTAATTGGCCCGGGCTTCTGCTCACCTGGTCCGTGTTGGCGTGCTTTTTCCCCCACGGCCATTCATGGTATGGTGGAAAGGGGGGACGCCAACTGCGGGTCGTGTGTTCCTCGAATGGCCGACTGACACCCTATCGCGAGGAGCTGAAGCTCCCCGGCAGTACCTAGTGGCTTGGACGCGGACAGTATGGGCACGAACTAGACTTCGTCGAGCTGGGAAAACGACGCGCGTGGTGCTGCGGCATGCAGAACGTGGTGCCAATAGTCGCGACCGTTGATTATTCCTGGGCCTTTCGGCCTGTTTGGTAGGGATGAAGGTTGTCTTTTTTTTATTCCCATAGAGTACCGTGAGAACGGCCTCGCTTTGGCTTTGTATCATTTTCTACTGTGTTCGAAATCATCCGTATCGGCATCCGAGCCATGAATCTGAGACTTGAAGGCAATGGTTTGTTTGTGTCAACTATCGCCGTTTCGTTTCTCCTCGGCACTACAGTGTTGTGCTATTGCCAGAGGGAGGGATAGTTGACCACCGGTTGGGTACGTGAAGAAGGAGGGCCTGCCGCTTTGCTCCTTCCATGGATGGAAAGAACCAGCTGGAGGGCATTACCTAGTTGGAAGGAGCTCCGGCGCGGAAGGCATATCGTTACGCCCTTCACTCCCAAGAGGCACCAGGAAAGAAGGAGCAAGCAGCAGCCTGAGCTACACACTTCATCATCACAACACAAGGTGAATAAGACTGTATCCATTCACTCGAGCATGCAAAACGCGATCCTGGTTGCTTGCTTCTTGAACAGCGTATCAAGAAAGTCGGAATTTACCCCAAATGTTGATGCCAGACCGCCATCAGGTGCCGGCACCGAACCCGCTCGACCGGGACCGGCTTTTCCGACACGGAAACGCCGCCCCTCCCCCTTCCGTCGCGGATCCGATTCCGGCGAGCAAACAATAAGTTCAGCAAAAACAGTTGTTTCCAGACTTCCCGTGATTGAGGGTAGGTTGAGTGCCTCGTTATCTTTCGCACATGCCACCCACTGCGGTCGTTCACAGCCTTTGCATAGCGCGGCCAAGCTGCTTGAAGCGGGGAGGAAGAGAGAGCATGTTTAGCATTTGCCTCAGCTTATCTCAAGCAAAGACGTGTGGCATCACGGTGTTTTTCAGGCGCGCGAGTGCGAATCGTGGCGCAGCCGAAGCGTCCGCGCCACACCGCGCCACGTCGCAAAGTTCGATGTGATGCTGAGGGGATCCCGGAAAAGGAGTCAATCGGGCAGACCCTCACAGAAACGGCTCAGCAAAAAATAAGAGGGCATCGGGCCAAGCGCAAGAGAGTCAGCAACGACGTCAGAGGCCAAAGGCTTTTTTCTTTCTTCTTTTCTCCTTGGTTTTGATTTGCCAATGTCGTGCCGACACGTTGTGGGCGGCAGCCACCCCCGACGTACAATCAAAGTCAATCTCTCTTGCTTAGCCCCTATCGCAAGCCTGCGTAGAACGGCGCACAGCCAAAAAGAAAAAAAAAAAAAAAAGTCAAAATCGATCAGCGTTGCACATTAAACGGGCGGGAACTCGGGCGTCGATGACGTTATTAGTATACTAGATAAATTTTCTAAAAAAAAAAGATATGCTACCCTACGTCTTACAGCCAATACGTTGCGTCGAAAGGCTAACCAACAGGCCATGATCATAATCCTTTTTTTTGTCAAAGAAATCCCACCGTCCCATCCTAGTCATCAAGGTCTGGACTTTTTGATCGAATTATCATACTTCGTCCAGTCCTCATTGTTCCGTTTCCGTTCGTATGAACACAAAGCATACGCCCAATGTTCTCTGCCCCAATAACAAAAAAAGCCATTTAGAGGGCAGCAACGATACCAGCAATGGCAGCGAGGGCCAGACCACCGACAGCAGCGCTGCCGTGGGCGGCGGCGTTGCCGGAAGTGGAGGGAGAGGCGCTGGCAGAGGTGCCGGAGGGGGCAACGGTGGGGACGGTGCGGGAAGGAGTGCGGCTGGCGGTGAGGGAACCGGTGCCGTTGGCAGCGGAGGTGATGGCGGCGGAGGCGGAGGACGCGACGGAGGTGGCGTTGCCGCTGGCGGAGGCGACAGCGGAGGTGATGGCCTCAGAGACGGAGGCGGCGACGGAAGAGGCGGCGGAAGGAGCGGCGGAAGGAGCGGCGGAAGAAGCGGCGGAAGAGGCGGCAGCAGCAGAAGAGGCGGGAGCAGAGGCACCACCACCGGCCTTGAAGGCGGCGCAGGCGGCGGCAGCGGCAGACTGTGCCTTGGTGAGGTCGGACGAGCTGCAGGCGGCAAGCAGGCAGGAGGCGGCGACGGGGACGAGGGCCTGCTGCTTCTCCTCGGTGCACTGGCAGGCGGTGTCGGTCAAGGAGCAGCCGACCTTGGGGATGGCCTCGGTCAAGCAGGGGATCTAGAGAGGGGAGCACGATGTTAATTCAATGCCTCGGAGATGACACTCTTTCGTGGAGAGAGAAGAAGGATGAGTACGTACGGCGCACGGAGGCTGGCCAGCGAAGTTCTGGGCGGCGACGAGGCCGGCGGCAACGAGGGCGAGGGTGAACTTCATTGTGAATATGGTTGTGTGGGTGAAGGTTGGTTGTAGGGAGTGGAGTATTAGGATAGTATTAAGTTGGATTGGCGGTAATATACAGAGCGAAGGACAGCCGACGTTGGGATTAAGATATGTGAGGGATGGAGAGAGAAAGATCTAAAAGACAGTGTACGGTTGCCCAGGCAGATGGGAAGGGGGTAATAAATACCTATGCGTCCCGGAGCACTGCACAAGCCACCACGGAAAGAGGAGAGAGAGAGGGAGTCTGAGAGATGAGACCCCCCCCCTGTCCCGAAGCTTTTCTTTCCCCTTTGCCATTTCCTTCAAAAGCTTATCCCACATATATCAGCGCGTTGCCACTTGGATTGTAACGCTAGCAGCGTTAGCTCCGCCTCTTTTCTCTCCTCTGTTGGCGCGGGACCGACCTGACCTAGATGGGTAGCCCTGGAGGCCCTGGGTTCAACTTGGGGAAGTGAGTGAGGTTAGGGGCAAGGGGTACATCTCCCCCGGACCTGGGCGGACCCATCTGCCAGGTCGCCTGCCGGTTTTTCCAGGCATCAAGCATCCGTATCCGTACTTGGCACCTGCATGACGCCTGTATTATTTATTTCCCCCGGCCAGCAGGGGTTTAGAATGATGCTGCCACTGCCGCTGAGTGCTCGATCAAGGCGGGTGAGTGCGTGGGCAAAGCGTCTGATCCAATTGACCGGACGGAATTGGTCCTCCGGAAGAAATCCAGCGAATGTTTATCCCTTATTCCATCACCCTAGTCGACGGGGAGAGCCTGGTTCATAACGTCCGTTTGCCTTTGCAGCTTTGCAGCAGTGCCCACTGGATACGGTAGCTCTCCTCCTCAGCTGTCTTCAGCTCCCAGCCCACAGCCTCTCTCGCCTCCTGTCCGTGGACCTCTCTGCAGCTTGCCCGCATTAGCTCCAGCCCTGCAATGTGGCAGGAACAGAGACAACCGAGAGAAAAGCACAAGAGACGGTGGGAATGCACCCAAAAGGGGATACGGGCATCCGTGCGTTTCCATTGGATGGCAGGTGGCTTCAGCTCGTCGACGGTTGACTGGACGAGCGTTGGCGCCGCTGGCTGTGCTGCGTTAATGCGCCGAGACTTCGGGAATGATTGGCGCAAAAAAGACTTTCGTACCTACATCGTAGATGCTCCTTGGTTTACGTACACATTCGACGCTCTTCCTTGGCTGTTCCGTCCATCCTGGTGAATCTCTCTCTCTCCCTCAGGAGTCGAGCCCATTAGTCGTTTCAACCAACCGGCCGACCGATGGTTCGCCGTAACGGTGATACGGAATGTACGAGTCATCGGCCGGTGCACCGGGTGCCAACTACCGACTCATGTTGACATGGCATGACATTGCGATGTAGTATGGGGGTGGAGCCGGGGGCCAGGGCGCGCGAGAATCCAAAAGAAAAGAAGAAAACATGCCGCGGCTTGACGTGGAGATAATGAAAGGTCGACCGTGGCGCAGTCGCCCCACTTGGTGTGGCTGGAGCATCCGCCGTCGAGCCCAGTAAGGAGGCTCATGCAGGTGTGGCGCATAACATCAGCCACGTCATATGCCATGTCACCTGACCGAGCTCGAGGACCTCATTCATATGGGCCCTCTGCCTATCCAACACGTCCCCCTCTCGCCCTTAAATCTTACAAAATCACTCCCATACATTTCTGCGTGTGATGCGGAATGCGGTTCCCGATGCCGCCATGGACAATTCTCCCTTGAATATCTTTGTCCACGGGTCAGTGTAGAATCGAACTTCTGGGCCTCTCTCGACGTTGTACACGCGGGCTATGATGTAAATGTCGGCTGGTATCATGCCGTCCTTTCGTGCATACTTCCGGGCCTGGATGTCTCAGTTTCGATACGACTCAGACAAGAGTGCGGGGAGAGCTTACCAGTTCCATTTGGTTTTGGCTGAGGTGAAACGCTTCATCGCAGCCAAACACCGTTCCCTTGACCTCGAAATGGTATTTGGTTGCCTTTGTGCACCGCATTTCCTTGAGGATGCCGAGTTCTTGGAGTTTTGGGAGCATATGCGTCCCCCCCTCATCAGTGTACGTGAAGTCGGCTGTTGTGGACTCGTCACCTGGGAACGTCGGGTAGCCGAAAGATTCTCTAAGATGGCTCGTCCAATGCGTCTCGGAGTTCCAGTCTGGAATGTGCTTCTTGAAAAAGCCGTCGACCTGAGGCAGTTGTCAGAAGAATCACGGTGTTTGTTTGGTTGGCTTGAACTCACATATGCTTCTGCTTGGCGGCCGATTTCCTTGAACCGGCTGTTGGCCTCGGCAATGGCGGCTTCATGTGCATCCATGACCGCAGTTAGGTGACTGGACAAGATAGTGGTATCAGTCGTTCGGCCCACACACATCCTCGTTGATGAAGTTCCCGTGTCGTCTGACTTGGCTATTTCCGTCAAGGATCCATCGGCAGCGTAGTTTGCATCCTCTGAAAAGGGGCACCTGATGTTGTTGTCTTCCAGTAAGCCTCGTGTCTCGTGTGGAGTAGCCTTCAGTATCAAGGGAACAAGTTTAAAATGGGCGTCCTTTTTTATGGAACACCATCGTATGAAGAAAGCCGAGAGCTTCATGTCGACCTGCAATGGGCTGTTCTCAAAAGGATGGCGCAGAACGAACACGTTGATCCGTGAGCCAGCCTCTTTGATGGAGATGTGACTAATTCCCGACTCCCCTTGGATATCTCCTATCCTTCTCCGCAGTTCGAGACCTGACACTTTCCAAACGTCCACAGGAGGCAAGAATGTGTCACTCACATCATTTTTTCTGCCTCCAAGTCTGCTTTTGGTCAGCATCAGTCTCTCACGGAAAATAGGGCCAGGGGTTGACTGACAGAAAGAGAAACCTGACGCGTTTCTGCATGGTCAGCGACCACTCGTTCTGCATGACGGTCGATCCAGTGCATACTGTGCGTTCCTCCACAGCTTTGCTCAGACGTCGCTTGTCGAGATCTAGCCATTCGATCAGCGGCAGGAGTTTATCGACGTCGTTGATGTCGAAGTCCAGAATTTCCACCTTCCCCAAAAAGGCCTCCCTCAGGGCTGTGCGGTCGGCAATGTACCAAGTCTCATCCAAGATCCTTCTGGCTGCTCTACCAGAATCATGCGGCTGCAGGGAGCTCTTCACCACTGGGAAAACTTGGAGATGGAGCACTTCATCTTTTTCCTTGGTGTGGAGGCGCCGGCCCATGGGCCCGGCCTCTGCCAGGTAGTCGCATAGAATGAACATGATGGATTTCATCGATTCCACCTCTTGCGAACTCTCTGGTGTATTGCTGATTCGCTTCAACTCCTCGACTACTTCAGATATGCCAGCATCCTGGATGCTGAGGACTCCCCGGAAGAAATCATCGCATTCGGGATACACATCAGCAAGAGTGGTCGTACTTTTGAGCGGGTTGGCGCTCTTCCAGACACAATCTTGCAGAGACAACCAGCCGCGGCTTGGATGATAAACCAGCTTTTTTTCGCTCTTAAAAGTCATACTTGTTCTGTTAGCCAGTTTATAGTGGAACTTGTCTCGGGGTTTGCCTTACCAAGTATCCGTCGAAACCAGCCGTCTGTTTTGAGCCATGTATTGATAGGCACGACGCGCATCCTCGAGAGTCCTGCTGGTGATTGGCAAACGGGACAGCACCTCAAGTTCCCGTAGCTGAGCAACATCGTTAATCTCGGTTATCATCTTGACTTGAGAAAGGTATTGCCACTTGGTGTTATCTGGATCTGGGAGATCGGCGAAGAAAAGATGTGGACAAGCTTCCAGAAGACTTTTGGTTGGGACCGCGGCTTGATCCAGAGGCATACTGACGCCATCACGACATTTGAGCTTCGCATTCTTTAAATAAGGACCCAGGTTTAGCATTGTATGTTTGTGATAATGCAAACTGTGGTCTCTCAGAAGCAGAAGCATGTCATCGAATGCGTGCTCGATCAACCACTTCGCCTCGTAGGTCGCATCCCCATCACTATGGGTCAGTCTGGGCAGCGTTGCAACTTTGCATGAAGTTTGGAGCCATGCAAGAAAGGTATCATCCTTTCTTCCGGTTGAATTCTTCACACAATCAAGGCTAGGACCGTCTTTAGATTCGATAGTCAAGTCGCCGTCATACTCAAGGTAATCTGGATGTAAAATGCTTTTGGAAAAAGCCGAACTTGTCGCAGGCTCGATTATGAGGTTAGGTGAGACAGTAGAATCAACGAAGTACGCGTCTCTAGCCCGGCATACCCTCGAACCATCTTCGGTGGCTATCCAAAGCTTCGACAGTTCATGTTTGGTCGTAGCATTCATGAATTCTCGATGGCGGAATAGATATAGGGCCTCTTGAATGAAATGCATGTAAGGGCGTGCCGTGCCGCTGCTGGGAGTCCAGATTTTGTGAGTCCATAGAATTCTGTGACAAATGTCACTCTCTGTGATCTCCTTGAGGCCTAGCCACTTGAAGAGAGCCTCTCTGTGGGCATTGTTTCTGTCCTCGGGGTTCACAAAGAACAAGCCTAAACCAAATGGAGCACTCCAAGCAACATCAATTGAGGCCAAGTAGAGGTTCTTCGTAGATGCAGGCAAGAACTTTCCATGCATCGTTGGCACGATTGGCAGATGGCATAGCTTGTTTCTGAGTTGGTTGACTCTGATTAGAATGGCTGCCACTCTGTTGTGCCACTCGGAAGTTTTGAGGCCGAGGTCCCTCCGGTTTTCATGAACCATCCATTAGTGGAATTGTATGACGAACCGTTCATCGTTCATCACTTCTACACCGAGGGATTCAAGACTCGAAGGCAGTTTTCCGTTAGGTGCATACTCCAAAGCCAGAAGCTGCTCCTGCAGCCGCTGAGACTCGATCAAAGGCTCCCCATCCAAGCAGAATTCTGGTGGAACAAATACCAGATCCCCGGGCTTTTGGAATGAAGTGAGGCCGGCACGACTTTGGAGAATTTGACAAGATCCAAGGTGCTTGACGAGTTTGGCCCGGAGATCTTTGCCGAATGCAATCCCAGTCGGCAACCGTTCTAGATACTGCGGCCAAACATAACGCAGGCCGCCCTCGATGTTGTTGAATCTGTGGACGGCCGCCTCGAAAGCGCTAGGAATGGCTTCTTGGAGCTTTTCATTCCAAGCAGTAGGAGCAAGACTTTCTCGGCTTGCCGTAAGAACAAAATCGCCCTGAATGAGAAACTACAACACATATTAGCCTCGTAACAGAACTGCATACTGGGCAGGGACTTGCCCGAAAACCATATTGGTTAATTGGAAGGAAAGCAAAAACATGTTGCGGCTCGAGTATGAGGCTTCCATCGTTATGCAATGGAAAAGCAAGAACGATTTCAGACGTCACAATGTTTTCCCTTCGAGGTTCCACCGGCATATCGTCGACTATTCTCCGAACGAAGATGTATCGGGTCTTTTTTCTCCTCTTTTCGGTGGTGCTTTGCACTGTTACCGTTTTCATTTCGCCCTGATACTCCTCGTCGTCGTCGTTGTGTGCTACGGTGAATGTTGTGTTGCATGTTGCTGTGTGCACCGAAATTCGCCTCAAACGGCGGAGGAAAAGGAGAATTTCGGGCTGAACCTTTTCCAGATCTCTTTCGATCGACTCGAAATCTCCTTGGCTTTTCAGCTCGATCATCATTCTTGTGTAGTTTAAGGTGCCCTTGGGTGCTGGGTAAGAGCAAGGGATCGGTCGCAGGGCTCCGATCATGTCCTGGCTGTTGTCGAGCTTGAAGTTGTAATGGCCACTGGTGATGTAAACAGCATCGGCGACACGAAAGACGGCCTTGAAGCCAACACCCTTCTCCCCAGTAAACCCTCCATGTACATCCTTGCACTTTGTCTTGGTGCTAGCTCCAATGTCGGTCAAGGCAGCGATCTGCGCAATGGAAAACCCATCTTCGTTGCAGCTGGTCTCGAGCGTGTACTTCTCAGTGTCGTTGCTAGTGTCTTTGCTCTTTAGCCTCAATGAGAAGCTGGGGAGCGAGCCATGAGCAGTGCTTTTGCCATATGCGTTGTCATCGGCGTTTTGGATAACCTCGTGAATGAAGCGAGTCTCTGTGCTGTACAGCTGCTGTGAGAGAATCTGAAGGGACCGGTGGATTATACCGTGCTTGAAGCCATCATGTGTGCCATCGCTCGAGTACAGACCTCGTTCGCGTAGCAGAGAATTGAGCTGGGCATCGGCCTCATCGCGATTGCGAGGCGGCATTGTTGCAGGCTCATCAGCCATGGTGAGCGTTAGCTGTATTTTGATGCAAATGAGATAGCAACTAAAACAATTCCCGGTTCAATGCCGAGGGAGTATCGAAGAGGGCTGTCCAAGAAGGAGACTGAAGAAAATTGGTGAGTTCTCTTATCGTAGTAGGTTGGCAACCGTGTAAAAGTTTGCAATTTTGAGAGAAACAACGCATGCAAAAAAAAAAACAAAAAAAAAAAGAGAGAGAGAGAGAGAGAGAGAGAGAGAGAGAAAGTAAAGTGACGAAGGTGAAGATGCAAGCAAGACTACAAGGTGAAAAACAGGTGAAAAACAGGTGAAAAAATGCCTCTGCTACCACTTCCACCATTCTCTTTTTCCAAACTTCATCCACCCACACTCAAAGCTCGGTGTTTATCCTACTCAAACCCGGTACACCGAAGCCCAGCTCAGGAACCATGGCATGGCCGAAGTTTGAATCTTTGTGACGTCAAGCCTTACTGAGCTATCTCCGATATCAGTATGTAAACGGTTTTCTGGTGCCTATCCAGATGCAATCTACTATGGAATCCTTGTGTTCAGTCCTCAGGATAAAATAACGGATCGAATATGAATTCTCACAGCGTCCAAATCGCTTCCTCCCTCTGGGCCCTGACATCCACACTGCGCTACACGCCCAACCGCGATCCTGTACTATCAACGATGCCTCTCATCATCAGGCGCTCGCCACTTAAACTGCCCGCAACAAGTGCCGTCCACCGCCGCTACCTCTCCTTCTCCCCGGTCTCCCGCGCCAGAATCATCCACACCGACACGGATACATTCATAAGATACAGCCTTCTTCAAGGCCCGCCACGAACACCGAGAGTCAAGTTCTACAGGACGAACCTGACGGTCCGACCGCCAAAGATTGGGGCGGCGGCGGAGGCCGAACACAGGGTTCTGGACGAGGTTGCGAGACAAATCATCAGCTCTCATTGCCACAGACCCTGCCGCAAAGCTGTAAGCCATGTGAAAGCTAGTAGCCCGGTCTTTGATTCCGTCGGTGCCGGCCTCGGTCCCATGGATAATCAGACCTGTTACGCAGATGATAAGATGCTCGTATTCACGAGAAAGACGACGGTAAACTACTGTATTATAATAACGGTGGCCACTGCGAGCGCTTTGGCGGGGTATCTGACCCGCTGTTGGAAGACGAGTAATAGGTCCATCGAGAGCGGCGGGTCAGGATGGATGTCATCAGATGAATCATAGGACAAATTGTTGGACGGGTAGGTGAAGCTGGTCGGGTCAGTTCCTCTTCCAGAAAAAAGGATTAGTTATCACAAGATATTTCTGAAGGTCTAAAAGTAGAACCTACGGGGTAAATTCCAGAATTCCTTAAGGGTTTAAGGGAAGCCGAAGATTTTGACACATGTGTTGGGATCGACCAGAGGTACGAGACGAACTTCGGATTACATGTGGTCTTTGTGATTCCGAATGGCCCATAGGTTCCTGAAGCGTCGTTGCTTATTGATATTTCTAGATGATGTTAGTCTGTAAACTGTTGAAAAGAGGCGAGGAGGTATAAACCTGGCAGAGATCCTCATGTTGGCGCCCGCCTTTAGGTCTTTGATGTCTTTATTGATCTGGTTCGTGGTTGCTTTCAAGTGCATCACGTTGACGTGGTTGTCATTTACCTGATTGGCTTCAGCATGGAGACTATTAGAATTAGCACAGATCCCACTTACTTGAATCTTCATGGATGCTGCTGACTTCTTGGTGGATGTTGTTGATGTCTGCATGGATCTCGTTGACCTCTTGGCGGATGCCCTCGACATCGTTACGAAGGTCAATAACATCCTTCTGGATGGTGCCATACTTGAGATCAAGGTCATGAAGGTCAGAATGAATATAGGGAATGGGAACAGGCTATCAGACGGATCATAGGACAAAGGGTCGGGCGGGTACCAGACGGATCTTTAGACGAGATGTAAGAATTGCAGATACAGCCTACCGCCAACCCGCCTTGAGCTCTCTGACCCCCTCCCCCATCGCACCTTCTCTCTCTTTCCCTTTTGATTTTCGCTCTTACCCTGTTTTTTCTTTCTGTTTTTCTTCTGGTTGTCTTTTGATTCTCCTACCCCTTAAAAACCTCAACTGGAGATTGTGTCTGGGCAGTTGAGTCCTTGGCCCACTTGGGTTTCTTCTATCTCACTATCTCACTTTCCTCCCACTTTCCATCTCACTTACCACACGACACTCATCACCAGCCGAAGACCCCAACTCCGCCGCGTCTACCGTCCCAAGATCCTGCCAAGGTAAGTCTGAATATTCGTTCTCTTCTTTTCTGGATGGCCCTTCATCTGCCATCGTAGAATACGTCGCGCAACACCTATGGGCTTTCTGTCTTTTTATTATTATTTTGGTACGAAGCTGACGAAATAGTCTTAGAGAGAGCTGAGATCAAAGATGAAGTCTGGAGCCAGTGACAGAGGCACTCGGCCTGGTGATCCTCCGAAGAACCAAGACGCCAAAGTCGGGCAAATCCTTGCAGTAGCCACCAGATCTGGATATGTCTCGGAGATATCATGCACCAACTGCGAGGATCCAAGCCACACAGACGACAACTGCACTTCCACGGAGAAGACTTGCAACTGGTGCAAGGAGGCCGGACATTCGCGAGTAACCTGTCCCAAAGCACAATGCTCAAACTGCTGAGAGCTTGGATACATGACGCGCCACTGCAAGAGACCGAAGCTCTGCCAGCAGTGCGGCAAAGAAGCCACCGCTGATCACAACAAGACCTGCTTGGGCGAGAAGATCTGCTCCGTTTGCTAGGAATGTCACACGGGCACCCCCTGCAACGTGTGAGCCCACTGCAGGAAGAAGGGCCACAAGGCGTCGGTCTGCTTCCGGAACCCCCTCTCGGGAAAGGTGGCAAAGAACAAGCCGCTCAGGTGCAACTGCTGCGGCGAACTGGGCCACAAGGCCGGCGATTGCCCCAACAGACCGGCTCGGACTTGTCACTCCTGCGGTTCAGAAGATCATGTCAACAAGGACTGCCCCACGCCCCTCTGCAAAAATTGCAAGCAGTTGGGCCACAGGATGGTTGATTGCCCATCCGTGGTTTAGAACAGGAGACTCTGGTGACGGATGGGGCGAGGGAAGCGACTGGCAGACGAGGCCGAACGTTGGTTGGTTGGTTGGTATGGACATTGGCCCATTTGGCTGGGCGTTGTCGGCTCGTGCACATAGTTCACGACACCCAGGTTTTCGTTGTTGAAATAAATTTACGAGTCGTTTGCCTCCATCTCGCTGCTGTGATTAAGAACGACTTTCGGCCATGGATGTGACACTGACGTGGTCTTGTGACTGGATCTATTGCCTTTTTGACCTGAGCATTTCGGGCAACGTACCTAGTCTTGTCCAAAGCGATTGTCAGGACTGCGATGGAATGAGGACAGGCCATCAGACGGATCGTGGGATGGGTCATGGGATGGATGGATCATAGGACGTGACACCGGGCGGACTATTAGACGAGTTACCTCGTCGCGGTCGAAGCACTAGTTTCGGGTTGTTCGTGCAGTATACTCATGGCTCTCAATTCATGTCTAAGTAACTCAACATCAGAAGGGAAAAAAAGGGGGCCATCCCCCTTCCACCCGCATCTCCCACCATCAGCCGTCCTCCCAGAGCCGCCGGCTCATGATGATGGGCCTCGCCGGGTCCCACGGCCCGTAGATCTCGTTCTTGTACTTCTGCAGGCCGATGAGCCACCAGCTGCACCCGCCCATGGCGACGGCCGAGATGAGCACGCTGACGACCATGCCGGCGACAGCGCTCTTCCACGGCCATCCGGCGGCGACGGCGGCAGGGGCGACGCCGCCGTCGTCGCCCACGATGACGCCCACGCCGGCGCCGGCGCCGAGGACGAGGAGCGCGGTCATGGCGTAGTTGTAGGCCGAGCTCCGGTGCCGGGCGTAGCGCCGGAAGACGGGGAACAGGCCGAACACCTCGATGCTGAAGAGGGTGAGGCTGAAGACCTGGCCGGTGGAGGGCAGGCGGCTCGCGAGCACGGTCGAGGCCATGAGGGCGGCGTTGGTCGACAGCGAGGCGGGGATGTTGACGCGGACGCCGCCCGAGTAGTCGAAGAAGAAGATGTTGATGGTCAGCAGCCAGAAGGACATGGCCCAGATGCTGTCGGGGGAGGTCGACTTGGTCAGGGACTTGAGGATGGGCGAGAGGCCGAGGAGCGTCGAGTAGATGAGGATGGCGCTCTTGACGGTGCTGAGGCGCTGGTTCAGCCGGCTGTTGTCGTCGCCCGGGAGGGGGAAGGAGGACCGGCGGGGAGGGGCCTGGTTCATGATTTCCTGGCTGTGGCGGCGGTAGGCGGACTGCGAGGTCGTCGATGTCGTGGAGATGAGTGAGCTCGCCGAGGCGGAGTGGGAGTGTCGCGTCGGGCGCTCGGCGGCGGCGACGGTGGCGGCGGAGGAAAGGTTCGTGAGGGAGCTGGCAGCGGTCGTTGCTGCCGAGGTGTCGTCGGCGTGCGACGGCGGGCGCCGCATGCTGCTTGTCCTCCGGCTCGGTTCCCTCCGGCCGGCGACGGTGGCGCCGCTGGTCAAGCGGCCGAGCTCCTTGCGCTCCTCGTCAGCCTCCCAGCGCTCCCACAGCAGCCAACCTAGGAAGGTTGCCAGGCTGCTGAAGGACACGACCGAGGTGGGCGGCACGCGCTGCTTCTGTATGAGAACGAAGCAGACGATGAAGATGATGACAGAGCAGACGTGCTGGACGATGACGCAGGAGTCGGCGACCAGGGGCCAGAAGTCGTAGGGCTGCAGGCGGGGGTTTCGCTGCAGGCTTTCGAGGAAGGTGTCCTGGTCGGTGTAGTTGTCGGGGTAGCTCTGCTTCACCCACATCAACTTCTTCCAGGTGCGCTTGCGGGTGCGGCGGGAACGGGAGCGATCGCCGGCGGTGCCGTGGCGGAGGTGGGCGCGGTCAGCGCGGTGGTGGTCCGGCGCGGTGGAGGCATCGAGGAAGGAAGGGATGGGTCGGCGCGGCGGCGAGGTGGCCAAGAAAGCATCTTCGGGAGCGAGGCGAGATGGGTCTTGGCGGGTGATGTTGGTGTTGCTGTTATTGGTAGTGTTGGTGCCGCCGGTGCTGGAGCCTGCCGGAACGGTAGAAGAGCGGGTAAGGGGCGGGGGGAGAGAGGCAAAGTCCGTTGGCGTCGTCGGCGACATGAGGCTGGGACTGCCGAGCACGGCGTGCGAGCGAACCAAGAGAAAGGACAAAGAGCCCGAGGCTCGGTTCAATGGCTTCGGGCGGGATGCGTATTCGATGATTGCCAATGCTAGGACCGAGCGAGAGACCCTTTCTCAGCCTCGCCGACGCGAACGGACTGTTGTCAGGGCGAAGGCGTGCAAGGCTGAAGCAGATTAGACGAGACTAGGTAGCCCATAAGCGGAGAAGACAGGCAGCTGGTCCAAGAAAAAAGAAAAAGATACGTGCACAGACGGGGAAAGGTGATTGGTGGGGGGGGGGGGGGGGGGTGACCGAGTCAGTGGGCTGCGACGGTGTGCACGGGTTCATGGATGACTCCCCATGGATCATGGACAAGGGTTCCTGGGCCAGTGGCCCGATTGGGAAACCCTTCTTTTCTTGAGCTACCATCAAATGTCGGCGGCCGAAAAGAGCGGCTTCCGGCGGCCGCTGAGCTACGCAGGAGGGAGCTGAGTCTGTAAAATCCCCAAAGCAGCTAGGCAGCTAAAGACCGCCATCGTATTCTTATTTCGCGGCGTGGTAGTGGCTTGGCCGATGGACCAGTCGGAGATCTCGTTGCCAGTATCTACTTGTATCATGCTTAACTCTCTTTTTCTTGCCTGCAGGCCCATCGATATGCGTGTGTACTATGTACAGCTTAGCTTAGCTTAGCTGCCTGCCTACGAGTCGCGACTCAGCAACACCTCGACTCCGCATGCGCACACCCCGAGGCCAATCCGCCCCGGCTTCGCAGCGACTGACGCGCAGCCCATCGTCCAAACAGTCAGAGAGGATCGTTCACTGCCCCGGATCCCTCGGTGTCATCTTCTCTGATTGGGTTGGAGAACTCAAAAGCCAGCAGCTTGCGCGTCTGCTTCTTGGCATAAGATGGAGAGACATCGATGAGTTTCTGGTTCTCGAGGCGAAACAGAAGTCCCGTATACTGCCACACCATCAATTAACTCTGTCGCGATGGTACGACCCGCGGGAACACCGTCCCACTTCCAATACCATGTAATGCTAGTTGCGAATGGCGTGCGCCCGACTCTCCAAGGGAGAAGGTCCCGAACGGAGTTCCACTCACCCCGATGGGGACCGGCTTCGCCGCATCCCGTAAACACCTTGGGCCGTTGGGATACGAAGGAGGAAATGCTAGAGAGTGGCTGACTGCAGTCCCCTTTACAGTTCTCAATTCCCACAGCTACGTGTAGAACTTTTGGGTCCTGAGATTCTTCGCCAGGTGGCTCGCAGTAGCACAAAGCTTGTTAGTCGTCCTCTGATCCATCATTGGGTAGCCCCCCCTTGGCAGCATGTGGCCCTCGATTGGTGATTGGTTCCTTTGCAAATATTGCCCCTCCTCTTGCCCTTTCCAGATGCTCTCCCCACACTGTCGATGGTTGTTTGTTCTCTGGTCTTCCCTCAAGGCAAGCTTATCCATGCTGCTCCCAATTTTTTTCTTCTTTTTCTCGGGTACCAGTAGACGGCCAGAGCGATTTGGTCGGCGGCCAGTGTCTAACCCAATCTAGAAGCACCGACACATGGAAGCTAGAAATACCATGTTTCGTCACCCTAACCCTCTAACTAACCCAGACCCTAACCCAGACCCTAACCACCCTAACCACTAACCCTACGTATCTTCTATAGATATGTAGGCTCTTGAAGATACGTAGGGTTAGTGGTTAGGGTCTTGGTTAGGGTGATAGAATATGATTATTTTATATGTGTTGGAGAAATGTTGGTAGTGCCTTCCTAAATAGGCTTAACTCACTGGCCGCCGACAAATCGCTCTGGCCGTCTACCGGTACCCTGATTTATATACGCAAAGTTTTTATTCTCCATGGCTCTTTCCGGTGCTCTTCGCGCTAGCACGACCAAGGCCGACTTGTCCAGAAGCCTAAGATCGCTGGACTAGGCCGGACAAGCGTGCAAACCGGCTTGGACGTGGCTGCTTATTTTTGGGACTTTTTAAAGGCCCAACGTGGAGCAGGAATTTCTCAGGTATTTGGAGACGGCTCAAAGAACGCACGCCCGGCGACAGGAAAGGGGCGAAGCCCACTCTCGAGTCGCTAGTGTTTCGACAGGCCGAGTGTGAATTGCCTCAACCTATGTCCGATGGACGCCAAGCCAAGCATCGCGTAGACAGCCTGCTCCTGTTGGAACCCAGGCTTCGAAATGACAGGGCGATCTGCGACAAACCGGCTCGACATTGTCTTTCTCAAACAACAAATCTCTCGGCAGGAATTGCCGGACATTTGTAGGTGGAGAGCCTGCGGGCCCAGTGATCAGTAATGGCCCATTTTCCATGGACACCTCATGATATTGTCGGTGGGTTGGTATGTTGAAACCGTTTTGACGTTCGGACAACCTCACCTTAGACGGCAAGAACAGGCGGGTTTCGCTATTTCTGCCCATGTGGGCCCCGGTTGCGATGGAACAAAACTGTCACGGGAGAGGCTCTAGGTAGTTTCCCAGGACAAATGGAGTCCAAAGGCGGCGAATCCACCGGAGAAAAATGTCCACCGCGTTTCAAACCCCCGCGATGCCTCCAAAATAGCCAACTTGCAACTGCTACGGAGTACTGCTGCTGGCATATCTCGGCTTCCTACTGCATTCATACCAAGTACCGTACGGCGATTCTAAAAAAACCCCCCGAAGCAAGGAATGCGGGCTGGCGCTTATCAGTGGGACCTTGTCGTCGATCTACCAACGCTTGCTTTGCAGTGTAACACAGTCACTTGTAAAAGCATTTAGATTTGCCCTTGACAGCGATTCGTACCTGGCAGAGGGACCGTGTTGGCCGCAGGCGTTTCGGTGCTGTTACCGTACCATAGAGGTTGAAAGAGGGAGAAAGAGAAAGAAAAAAAAAAAGAATCCATTACAAGGGCGTTTCCCGTCTCATGGGCACTCGATGATAAAAAAGAAGATTATTGCTGACATGTGCCTCCCGCTCTATTCTGTCTTGGGTGCATTCGTCCGGCGGCAACTGTGTAATTTCGTCTGTACGAGGCCTGTGGCACGGCAACGCCAAGCATCGTGCCTGAGCACGGACTGGTTGGGCAGGTCGGGGCCTACACCAAGTACGTACCTACATCGTACAACATACCAAGTGTACGCATCCTGGACCAGGCGAATCAAAAGGGATTTGGGCATCGGCTTGTCTCGACCATGTCGACATAAGCCTGAGCTGGGCCATAAGATGAAGGAGAAAAAGGCTAGCAGACCTGTGTCTGTGCGAGCCAACGTCCAATTTCGTGCTTGTAAGATGAGTGTCGGTCGGTTTTTTATTTTTATTTTTCATCGTTATACTCGATGCAGGACTTGATTGGTTCCGTCGTTGCACTGAGTGCCGGCTGCTTGCGTCCACGCATTTCTTTTTCTTTTCCGTCTGTGGTTTGCTTCCTTTTCCGTTTCCGACAAAGAATAGCCGCCGAGGGGGGATGGGGCTGGACGCGGCCGTGGTTATTCGTATCTGTGGGAGTTCCGCTCGTAAGGGTTAGTATCAATATGATTCTCCCTCATGTAAACTGTACCTAGGTACGGAGTAGTCGACGTTCCTGTCCAATTTCTCTCTCTCTCACTCTGCGGTGAGTCAGCAGCATACGCGAACCTGGCTCAGACTCACACAGGGTAAGCAGCCACCCACTTGCTTCAGCTTGCACATGTGGAAGGCAGAGAGAGGGTGGGAAATGAGGGCCCGGGTGGGTTTTGGGAAAGCTTGATTCTTTTCTGTGGTGCGCCAGGTGGGAAAGGGGAGATGTGCTGGCACGGTGCCCTGTGCTAGCCTAGGTAGGTAGGTAGCCTGGGCTCCCTCCTCCTCCTTCCTCCCTCACTCTCTCCACTGTTCCTGCCAATAAGGTAAGCGACAGCAGGAGCGCACGTGTGGAGAGGGAAAAGCACATGCACAAATCACGCAGCAAGAGAGGGCCGCCCCATTGCTTGTTTGTTCGGTTCGTCTTCTTTTTCAATTCAATTCGACGACGTCTTCCTGGCCAAAGCATGAGGATGGCAACCAAGGTCGTTAACGCTAAGGGCGGTCGATACCTTGGGCACGGTAGAACATCTGGGACACTTCCCCCCCTCAGGAACCATCTCATCTTTGAGCTTCACCTCAAGCCTGTGACGGCAAGCGTCGAGTCTTTTCCAGGCATGAGAGCCGCAGTGCCGCAGTTCTTCCGGCTCCTCTCCTGCTCGGTCGCCACCGGCTTGCGCATGGGAACCCCCATCCGTCTTCCGACTGTGACAAATGGAAACCGACATGTCGGAATGCATCTCTGTTAAGACTCCCAGAGGACCTAGGCACCTAACCAACTAACAACTTGGCAGTGTACCATGTTGGAATGCCACCGACTCTAAAAGCGCCTCTCAGTGGTTATGATTCTGCTTAGAGTTCACTAGGGCCACGAACAATGCATCCTGCTGCCCAGCTTGGCACCGATCTCCAACGTCTCGATTGATTTCGTCGTCTGTCTGGAAACAGAAAGCGGCCGCCCTTTGAGAAGTTGTTGGCGAACCCAGAGACGGCCTTCCATGTCGTGGCTCAAACCAACAATGGGGTCCGAGCATGCCAAGTCTTCAAAACTCGCAAAGACACAGCGAGGCCCGCGAGCCTTCACCAGAAACAATCATCGTTCGGTCGAGTGAATCAAATCGGCTATTCGGCAGTTTACCCTCGTTTCCATCGCAGATCCTCATGGTTTGTCATCTATCGGGCGGTGTGTCATCGCCGTCGGCCTGCTCACCTTACGCACCTATCATACTGCCTACATTGTTCATCTGCATTGTCCAATGCCTATCGCAGGGCAAGCAGCTGGCTACTATCACCTCTCAGCCAGCCTCGAAGTTTAACAAAGGATCCTCGGGCCCATGTCTATTGGTGCCTCGGGCAGATGATGCCATGTCCTTTCTTTGTCTGCACCGGTGCAAGCCCCCCCAGCTGAGGGCTGGTGGAGAAGCATGCAGGCAGAGGGAGAGGGGCCATGTTGGAATTGGAAAAGCACCGGCTGCATCGCACAGGGTGCACCGCTGTCCCATTGTGCAGGGTCCAGACCATCCCTGCGTCCAAGGCTCAGCCTAGATCCTGGTCTTGGCAGCGTCCGCTCCCCACCTCGCCCCCTCGCGCCCGCTTTAGGGGAGTAGAGCAGGGCCCCGGGGGGAGAGCTGGCTGAAGGGGGAGAGAGCGTGCACCACCGCATTGCAGAGAGGAACAGAGACACCACCGCTGCCGGGCTGGTACAAGCTATGGCGTGTCAATCCCTAAATGCGTTCGTCGACCTGGTCTTGTCTTGCTTCCCTTCTCATCGACTCTGATCATATACATAACACTCTACTGCCCATGCATGCATGCCTTGTCCCCCCTTCTCCATACTTTGCCCCTACCTAGTCATCGGATACTTCCATCCTAGCCCGAGACCCTCAACCCGGACGACTTGCAGTCCAAGACGTCTCTCTTCCTATATTACTTTCGGACCTCGCTCGCCTTGGCACGTCAGTTCCACGAACACCACCTTCTTCTCATCTCGTCTTTCCTCCCCTTCCTCCTATCAGTCGTCTCACCTCATCTGCCTCACTCTGAATAACCTAAGAACACACTAGAGCCGTTACTTGTTTTGTTTCATTCGATTGCGAGGTTTCCTGCCCACCATTACCTTGCCGACCCTCGCCGCCCGGGTTCTTTTGCCCGTCTAACTTTCTGGCCGCCTCGCCGCTGCCTCTAATAGCTCGGCTCCCCAGACTTCTTCACCCAGAATTCCTACAACCACTGCCGGACGTCTTAACCTTTGACGCGCTTTTGGATATTGCTGAAGTCCATCATTACTGAGGGACAGCATCGCGACGACATCACCTGACATCGCATAATCTCCCAACACGACGATTTACACACCACAAAAACCCATTTAGACCTCGTTACCAACAAAATGAAGCCCTCAACTTTACTCCATGCTATGGGCTTCTCACAGCTGGCCTTGGCTGTCCCCGTTCCAGCAATTATTTCGGATATGGCCTCCCATGTTCAGGACGAGGCACGTCGTCTCGCCACAGTCAATCGCGTGCCCATAAGCCACACACCACCAGTCTCTACCGTTAACGATGCCGAGGAATATGTCGGGCACAGCGTTGAATTCGAATTCGACAACCGTCCAGTGTCGCCATCTGAAAACCTGCCCCCGTCACTCGTTCTAGCCGCGCCTCGGCCACTAAAGACTACCTACCTTCAGTCACTCTCCACGAATGTGCGATCTGGAAAGGAAAGAGTGGTGGACGTGGTGGGCGACGGTACTCCCGAGACGATCGTCCCGATGACTCTCGAGGAGGGTTTGGCAAAGCTGCTGCCGTCAAGGATTCGTCTCGGCTGCTGGAGGCACATTCAGGTCCCTAAGCCTACCATGTCTATCTTTAAGGAGCATCCCGACTTCATCGTCCTCGGGGCCCTGCTCGCTCTGGTTCTTATCCTCCTGGTACTGGAGACTATTGGCACCACATTTCAAGGGTGAGTTTCACGTTCGCAATAACTCACTGAACACCATCAACTGACACTCTGCAGGGTCCGTCAACACTACGATACCAAGGGAGAGATTCGCTTGGAGGGAGACGAGAAGCCTTGCCAGTCGCCGTCATTCAGGTGTGACTCGGTGCCTTACGACGATGAGCTCGATATCGAATGTCTGAGACCATGACGGATGACGCAAGTGCAAAGGGAAAAAACGAAAAAAAAACAAAAAAAAAAAAAAACACAAGGACACAAAGTCTCACGCCATGAATTCTTAATGTGGATATTAAATATCGTGATACCATATTTTTACACCTTTAAAGCGCGGCGCTGGTCTAGGCGGGAATGAAAATAAACCTATTTCAACTAATGGGGTTTCCATGTAATATCCAGTGAGTTTCACCCTGTCAGCGTTGGCAGCTCTGGGATGTGCCATACTACACAGCGGGCAAGGAAGAGAGACGCGGGGAGAGCATCGTCGAGCTTCGGGATACACGACCTGGTGAGATGGGAGGACAGGCTACGAGTGACGGTCCGAAGCGACGAAAAGGTGTTGCTGATGCGGCAATCACCCTATGATCCCGACATTCAGGCAGCTCGCAACAGGCCGTGTCTCATTACTATCGTACAGGCGCTCCAGGAGAATGTTACAGCCAGGAGGCTCGTCAACTTTCCCAGCCTCGTAGGGCTTGCGAAAGGACTTCCATCGGAGGTAGCGGCAGGTCCCACCTGTCGACCTGCGTCTGACAGGACGGGTATGTAGTACGATGGGGATAGGGGCCGCGGGTCACGATAGGAGGGCGGTCTTGTCTGCGTCACATGTTCTTCGACGCCTTTGACCTACCCATCCACCTCGCTTCCCGTTTGGGTTATGTGTGCAGCGTCAACGGCGGTGCGAAGAATGTTCGATCCGTCATTCGCCAGCCGCCCGCGTCGGGCATGATGACGCCTTGGTCCGCCGACACGCACAAAGAAGGTCATGGATGGTGACGTTGTCCTGTTGGACTGCGGGGCCCGTCGACCAGTCGACAGGGGGGCATGGTAATCAAGCCTTTTCTTTTTTTCTGTTCTTATTCTTTTTCTTATCTTCTTCTCGGTGGTACGCGATCAACTTAGGTAAAGGAAGAGGATGGAACCCGCGGCATCGTTCAGTCCGAAACTAATTCGCTGGGTATGTTTAAACGGAACCCGGCAACACAAGTTTTCTGCCATGCTCCACAGATCATCGTGGGGGCGGAAGTCTTGTGAAATGATGCCCGCCTCCCCGCTTCTCGATGGCTTCGGTGGTGCCGTTGACCAGTGTGGACAAAACAAAAAGGACCGACGCGACCTCGCCAATGACAAATGTCGCTTCGGAGATGCTCGCTTTGGAGCCATTGCGAACTCGCGGTTGCCAAACGCCCCTCCCCCCCTCCCCCCCTCCCCATGTTTCTACTACTATAGAACAATCGATATACCCAGAAGAAGAAGACAGCAGGGGTCGCCGACCAAGGTAGGAGAGGTGGTCGTATTAACTTCCCAATCGAGGTTATCGTACCAGGCTTTGGGTATCCAAACACGGGAAGAAGAAGGCGTGCCGGGTATCGATGCCTGGTCTCGGGTCCGGATGCACGGGTATTCTGGATGGGGTGTTTGTGTTTTTTACCGGGATCTGTTATTTGTGGCCGGCAGAAACTTGCCGTGCCGGGTGGCCTCTTTGTGCGCCGGCAAGCCGTGAATGGGGGTCAAACCCCCATTGTACCCAGATGAATCGAGGGTACAGGAGTTTGAAGCTCCTTCAAAGACGATTCAGAGTAGGTCCCAGTTCCTCGTAGTAGTGTAGGAGGGTGTTGATGATGATGATAATGATGTGGTTGAGCTGGCCCGTCACACCGTGGGATTCAGGGTCTCTGTTCTACTAAGTATGTCGTACTGTTTCCATGATGGGGACTTCACGCTTGGATCTAAAGGGGCAAGACTGGGAACGAAAGGTAAAGTTATGTCAAGTCACTGAACAGGGCTTCTCCGGTAACAGTCTCCAGCTAAAAGCTGGCTCTGGAGGCCTGACTTCCGCGACCATCACCACAAATATAATGTACATCTACTTCTAACACGGCCCGCACGTTCATCGTGTCCCGTAATGCTCGGCAGAAATTGCAACCTCCGCCCTGTACATGTGTCCCTCCTCCCCTCAGCCTATACCGGGGAGCAATGCTTAGCTGCCTGCTTATGCTTGCCTTCACCTTGCACTTCAAAAGACGCGGAGATTTTCCAATGCTAGGCTTGATGACCTTGGGCCGGGGAGGCAAAGACGGAGTTCTCTATCGACATATCGCCTGTTTGTTGGAGCATATAGGGGCGCAATGTCGGGTGCTATATGGCCTAGACCATTGCAATCTTGGTCGTCGCCCCCTCTGTGGTACCGGGCCGCTAGGTGCCAACGTGTTCTTGGACCATGCCAGCGCAAATTATCTGTAGATCTTGGGTTCTTATATCTTGCCAATATAGGGGGCAAGTATCCCTTGTTTCAATCACCCGAGACGAATGTCATACACAGTGTCTCAAAGTTTTCGCGTAACATTGGGTATCTATGTTCTTGCGATATATTATGATACCCGTTCATTTGCATGACAATAGCAATAATAGGCTTAATCATTTGCCTACTCTAACCGGGGAAGAAGAAGCACACAATCAGAGTGATACGGTAGGGGAAGGATTAGGCTGATGTTTCAAACGAGCGGCTTATCGCATAACCACGATCTCACTTCAGATTATACAACCATCCAACCGACTCAATAGGCGCCACAGCGTTTATAAATCATGAACGACCAGCCCATTGGTGAGCAGCCCCTCGGTGGCGGAAGAGTCGGAGCTGCTGCGCCTGTGGGATCGGAAGAAAACGCTCTCGTCGGCCACGAACGCCAACGGACCCGAACCGGGCCGACATTGCATTTGCTGGTGAGCGTTCCGCCGTGCGTACCCATGAGCGGGGGTCGGAGCAACGTGGACGCCTACCTAGCGACTTACATAGCCTTTCCGGTCAACCAATGATATCGAAGGACAAACAAACAGGATGTTGGTGTCTCGATTCGGCAACTCGTATGGTGTCGTGAAATGCCCACACTCACCCGCCCGTTCACCTCGACCCCCTCCCCAGGAGCTTTCATCCTGGGCGGGAAACTTGGCATGCAGCCCCCTTTCTTCTACATGGTCATGCGGGAGCTATCTCCGATCGACGGGCGTGCACAGTCAACCTCCCCCCCTACAGAAAAAAAAGCAAGACGGACCTCGTCCCATATCCACTGAGACAGTCCGACGAACTGACGCACATCCAAGGCCCTCTCCCGTCCGAGAGACGGCGCCAGCATGTGGTGCGGGGTACGGATTTCCATCACATGCGAGAATGGCGGGGGTAGTTCATCGATTTGGGAACTCTCGGGCTTCATGTGATTTGTTTCTTTCATATTTTACGAGTTTCAATTCTACAAATCGGATCGCTCGAGGACCGCAATGTTTCCTTTCACAGGTAACAGGATATCGTTACGTAATTTTACAAGGCGTGGGGAGGGACTTGGGCTCAAAAGCACAGGACGTATAAACATGGCCGACAGCTGCCGATTTACAGCTTGTAAGGGCTGGGGCCGATCATGAGCTCGGGGCGGACAAGCTTGTCAAAATCCTCCTCGGAGAGAGCGTTGAGCTCGAGGGCGGACTGCTTGAGGGTGAGGCCCTTCTTGTGGGCGTTCTTGGCAACCTTGGAGGCCATGTCGTAGCCGATCTTGGGGTTGAGACAGGTGACCAGCATGAGGCTGTCAAGCGTTAGCGAACAAGATCCATGCGGGAACAGAGGGGGGGGGGAAGGGTTGGATCTTACGATTCCTTCATGATGCTGGCAATCTTCTCCTCGTTGGCCTGGAGGCCGACAACCAGGTTCTTCTCGAAGGAGCGCATGCCGTCGGAGAGGATGCGAACGCTGTGGAGAAGGTTGCGGATGACCAGAGGCTTGTAGACGTTGAGCTCGAACTGACCGTTCATGCCGCCGATGGTGGTAGCGACGTGGTTACCCATGACCTGGGCGCAGACCATGGTGAGGGCCTCGCACTGGGTGGGGTTGACCTTGCCGGGCATGATGCTGCTGCCGGGCTCGTTCTCGGGGAGGATGAGCTCGCCGAGACCACAGCGGGGACCGCTGCCGAGGTAGCGGATGTCCTGGGCGATCTTGGACAGGGAGGCGGCAACGGTGTTGAGGGAGCCGTGGGCCTGGACGATGGCGTCGTGGGCGGCAAGGGCCTCGAACTTGTTGGGGGCAGTCTTGAACTCGGTGCCGGTCATCTTGGTAACCTCCTCGGCGATGGCCTCGGCGAAGCCCTGGAAGGTGTTGATGCCGGTACCGACGGCGGTGCCACCCTGAGCGAGCAGGCGAAGGTCGGGAAGGGAGGACTCGACTCTCTTGATGCCGGCGTCGAGCTGGGCGACGTAGCCGGAGAACTCCTGGCCGAGGGTCAGGGGGGTGGCATCCTGCAAGTGGGTGCGGCCGATCTTGATAATCTGCTTGGCGTCGAACTCGTCAACCTTCTTCTGGAGGGCGTCGCGCAGGCTCTTGAGGGAGGGAATGAGCTCGTTCTCGATCTCGAGGACAGCAGCGATGTGCATGACGGTGGGGAAGGTGTCGTTGGAGGAGGCGGAGCGGTTGACGTGGTCGTTGGGGTGGACGGGCTTCTTGCTGCCCTTGACGCCGCCAAGGATCTCGATGGCGCGGTTGGAGATGACCTCGTTGGCGTTCATGTTGGACTGGGTGCCGGAGCCGGTCTGCCAGACGACGAGGGGGAAGTGGTCGAGCAACTTGCCCTCGGCGACCTCGGCGGCGGCCTGCTGGATGGCCTTTCCGATCTTCTCGTCGAGGCCGTAGCGCATGTTGACGGCGGCAGCGGCGCCCTTGAGGATACCGAAGGCCTTGACGATCGGCGGGGGCATGCGGTCCTGGGGCTGGTTGATCTTGAAGTTCTCGAGGGAACGCTCGGTCTGGGCACCCCAGTACTTGTCCGCGGGGACCTGGACCTCGCCAAAGGCGTCGCTCTCAGTGCGTGTCTCGACCATTCTCGGGGCGGTGGTGTGAATGCTTCGCTGGAGGGAGAAGGGGCTGGCGAAGTTGGATGAACGGGACATCGCGGGGTAAATAGCCGCGGGGGAAGAGGTGGCGGATCGGGTCGAGCATGTGGATAGGCTCGTCGCGCATGTCCTCGGCACAACGGTAAGCCGCGAGTTGGCCAGGCCGGAAGCGGCGCGACGAGCTGGCGCCGAACGAAGCATGTTGGGTGGTGCTGGCTTTTTTTTTTTTTGGAGAAATGGGGGAGTTGGAGAGGAAAGAAGCAGCACTTGGAACTTGGACCAAGCCAATTGAAGTGAAATGACGTCGATTGCGTATGAAAAGAAACACCTAAACGTATCGCCAGATGTACAGAAGATCTCGAGACGGGGGGAAAAAATGAAGGAAAAAGGACTTGGTTGCAGGCAGTAACAAAAGTTCCATCGACTCCGAAATGGTTCCGTTGGGAGAGCTCGAACACCTGTGGAGATTTGGATGGTCCGTGCAGCCGGCTTATCCCGATTGTGCCGATTGCACAGCAACGGCCGTTGTGATGCGGAGTATGCCGAAAGTCTCCGATTCTCCGTGACTTACCTAATCCTGATTACCTAAGGCCTCCCAGCCCCAAGTCCCATTGTGCGTTGGCCTAACGGATAATACTTGCATCACAGCAACAGCAAGAAGCAACCACCAGGCACGTCGTTTACCTTACCTAATGCACTTCGTACAGTATTCAGCCTCCAAGGCCCTTGCAGCGTCCGCAGCGTCCGCAGCGGGAGCAAGATGATAGGGCAGGCAGCCTAGCAAGGCGGGTATCCCGGCCCCGCCCCGCTGCAACATGTCATCACACAACACCGTGGCCGCCAGGGCTACTTGGGCTAAGGCAGAGAATCCCCTTCTTCGCCGCCACCGCCGCCGCCGAACCCCACGGAGACGGAGAACCTAGCGTACCTAGAGCACCGTGGACCCGCTGCTACGGACTTGCCGGCGCTCACAGCCCCTCGGCCCTCCTCCTCAGATCCACCCAGACTTCCACATGTCCCTCCCCCGCTCCCGAAGTGCCGAAGGGGTCTTGGTGCACGCCGGGGGGGGGGGCGGTGTTGGGAGGCAGGCTTGACACCGTTGAGGGCCCCAAGATTTGAGGCCATCACGGCCATTGGCCCCTCAATACAACTACACAGCCCTTAGCGCCTGACAGCCCAGAGCGGAGAAGAACGATCAGCAGATCCAAGAAGTACACCTACCTTATCGCACTGGTCTGTTAATCACAGGGAACGTCCCGGAGCCTTATTCGTCAGCAGCCCATAGCCAGCAGCCCATAGCCAGCAGCCAACGGTCCATACAACAGGCGGCGCGAGCTACTGTGGACAGCAACTCTTGACAGGGGACGATGCGAGCCTCCTTAGCTTCCTGCATGGCTGCTGTGGCTTGCTCTGGTTAGAAAGGGGTCGACGACGCTATGTAGCTGGGTGGGTTTCACTTACTTTCAGCCCACCTTGCTTCTTATGGATGGCTGGCTGCAGCCTGGCCATGCTTACACCCCATTTTCCCATATCCAGAGTCCCATCTGCAGACCCCTCTCATTTTCCAGCTTGTCTATATTTTCCTCCTCTATCCACCTCTCCTCCTAGGCTGGAGCATTAAGCTCGAGTACTTGAATCCCGCCGTGCGCTCCTCAATTGAAGTTAAGAAGCACGCGACATCCCATCTTCTCCCATCCGATAAATTGAAAGAGGAGCCCGAGCCACCCTCCAACCTGTCCACAACCCACATTCTGACGAAAGAACCCCTCACCTCCCGTTCCGCACGTTTTGTCTCAACTCGAGCTCTAACCCCCCACCCCTACCTTTGTTGGCCTCTGCTTCGAGGCTCAGTTCGCACTCAGACACCAAACACAAACAGCGACAAACCCGGCTCGAAACTCAGGAAGATCCCAACTGTTGCCATGTCTCTCCAGGTCGACGACCGCAGTCATCGCACCCGTTCGCGCTCTCCGGGCCGTCGCGAGCGCAGTCGCAGCCGTGGCCCCGCGCCTCCAGCCATGGTTGATCCCCCACGCGAGCCCACCTACGCTTACCCGGAGGACGATCTCAACGACAGATATGCCCGCGACAGAGGGGCGCAAGTTGTTACCGCCGAGCCCGGTGCCGGCAACACCATGTCGGGAGCCATCCCCTATCCGGAGGACGGCAGCGATGCAATGTTCCCCGGCACCAGGTCCCTCTACGATTACGACGACCGCCGCGGCGCATCATCCTACCGCCCGCCCTCGTCTCCTCAAGACAGCTACTACCGCAGCTCGCGCGAAACCTACCAAGACCAGCAAGCGCGCGCCTCCGACCCTCGCGACGATGACAAGTTGAAATACCTCCCCGCCAAGTACAGCAGTCACAGCCGCAACAATAGCCGATACGGCAACGAGGCCGAATACGCGCCACCCAAACCCCCTCGTCCAGACACGGGCGACCTATACCCCCCAGCCAAGCCTCCTCGCCCCGTCTCTCCCGGCGGCTACGCTTATGCTCAGCCTCAGTCTTACGAGTACGCAAAGACTGATGAGAAGGCCAGAAAGAAGGAAGAAAAGAAGAAGGCGCTAGAAGAGAATCTTGCTTATGGCTTTGACCCTCATGCATCCAAGACAGGCTTGAATCCCGAGCCCCGGTACTCCGGCCGCGTGCCGAGCCCAGGACCACAGATCTCGGCTGGCGCTCAGGCATACTACGGCAACGACCCCCGCGCCTCGTCAAACGTCTTGACCGTGGAGCCTGGAAGTCGCAAGCGTGACAAGTCGCCCCAGCCGCCGACTCATCGCATGTCAAACTTGTCTGTGAACACAGGCCACCACTCATTGAACATGAGCATGTCGTTGGCGAATGCGCCGGGATCACCGTTGTTGGAGTCGTATCACGGCACATACCAGGATATGTCACCAATGCCATCACCAATGCTGCTGGCCTCCTCGCCACATGATCTCCATACCATGGAGCCCGTCTCTCCGCTCGGCTCTGACGACGAGGGCCGGCGACGTCGGCGGGCGCGGTTCCACGATACCGAAGATGATGCTGCAAGAATTGCAAAGGCACTCCGCAGCGACAGGAAACACCCTGACACGGAGCCTCTGATTGAAATTCTGCCAGGCCTTACTCACGAACAAATCATGGATCTTCGTAAGGAGTACAAGGCGCTTGTTAAGACTGGTCCGGAGCGCAAAGGTGTCAACGTGGCCAAGCACATCCGCTCCCGCCTCAAGGATTCTGAGCCGAACCTCATGAAGGCCTGCTACGCCACTGCGCTGGGCCGGTGGGAGAGCGAGGCGTACTGGGCTAATTTTTGGTACCAAGGCGACAAGACGCGCCGGGAGCTCCTTATCGAGTCCCTCATGGGCCGCACGAACCACGAGATTCACCTCATTAAGGAAGGATTCAACGACAAGAAGTACGACAACAGCCTGACCAAGTGCATGAAGACCGAGCTGAAGGAGGACAAGTTCAAGAAGGCCGTGCTGCTGGTGCTTGAGGAGCGTAGGATGGAGGAGTACGACCCTTACGGTCGCCGCCTCGCTCTTGACTACCACCTCGTCGAAGATGACGTTGCCGATCTGCGCAAGGCCGTCAAATCGGACAAGGGCGGTGAGTCGCTCATGATCGGCATCGTCGTGCAGAGAAGCGATTCGCATCTCCGCGAGGTGCTCAAGTTGTACGAGCGTACCTACAAGTCTAACTTTGCCCGCGACGCACTCAAGAAGAGCGGCAACCTAGTGGTAAATGAAACCTCTCTTTTTGGAACCTAGGAACGCAGGTGTCTGACCTTTTCACGCAGGGAGAACTTCTGGCCCACATTCTCAACGGCGTCATTAATAAACCCGTCCGCGACGCCTTGCTCGTCCACCACGCTCTCACGGCGAGCCGCAAGGACGAACTGCGCCGCGAGCTGCTCATATCGCGCCTCGTCCGCTTCCACTGGGACCGCCACCACCTGGAAGCCATTAAGCGCGCCTACCGTGAGCGGTACGGCCGCGACATGCAGGAGGCCATCCGGGAGGCGACGAGTGGCGAGTGGGGTCTCTTTTGTAGGGAGTTGTGCATTTACCGCATGCCTAACGACGTCAAGAGCTACGAAAAGGTTTCGATGCAAATCCGATGAGAATTATGCCCGACGGAAGGAGTATATTGATTATTCGAAAAGGGGGAGGCAAGAGATCTAATGAGACCACGCGTTATGGGAGGCTGCTTGAACGAACTTTATGCTATATCCAGTGCGCCGTTGATAAAATAAGAGATGACCATCATAGATCAAGATGTCCTCCTTTTTGATATCTGCTCCGCTCCCACGTAAGAGGGACAGAGACGTGACAAAGCCATCAACCCCTTTCAGATCTTACGACTCTCCCACCCCCGTTCTCTCTCCTCGACACAAGCATCCCCCCTCTTTCTCGAATCGCGTACGAGCTCCCCTCTGATCGGTTGTCGACCTCCCCGGTCCTCTCGCCTAGATCCGACCTCCTCTCCCAACTTCTCGTCCGCCCCCTGTCCCATCCATCCTCTACACCACCACCGCCGCCGCCCCTGAATTCGCTTTGGTGCTCATCGTCCCTCAGCGCACCATGCATGGCAAACAAGCCCCCGCTATCCACACTCCCATCCCGCCTGCGCCGTCTCCAGCACCTGCTTCCGGCGGGTCCGTCCCCTTCATGATACCGATACCCGTCCCCGGGGCTCATTCTACTCGACGCACCGCGGGGGGACGCATCGAACTCCTCGAACAGCAGGGTCTGTCGCCGACCGCGTCTCGGTGGCTGCGATCCATTCGCGTCGCCCAGGACCTCTTCGCAGCGTCCCGACGCCGTCCGGCGCCCGCCCGCATGCCGTCGCCCAGTGCCCGCCGGAGACGGCCGCAAGTCTCTGCACGAGCCGGGGCCGCCGCAAAGACATCTTATCGTCATGCCTTGGGATATCGGGCGACCGCGGCGGTTGTCGATTTTAAAACCCCATTTCTTCGGATCTTGCTATTGTTGTTCAGTCAATCGCGAGCTCTCTGCAACCCTTCCGCTACATCCCTCCAGAATTGAGGGAAGGTGGGAGAAGGAGGCGCAACGCACCTCACCGGGACACCTCGAAACCCCAACGACACCGCCGCCCCAGTCGCGTCTCCCCGAGACCGGATAACAACGGCTCCAGAAAGAAGGTGCCTTCTTCCTGCACTTTCTGCACATTCGCTTCTTCTCGCACTCTTTGCACGCCTTTTCTTTCTTCGCCTCGACGCCGCATCTCTCATGCCTCCACCCTCGATCCCTTCCCCGTCCACCGCCGCCGACACAGCACTCCACTGTCTCGTAACAGCACTCACTCCACCCCGAGTCCGAACAACATTCCTCGCCACAGACTGGTTCTTCAGAGCCCGAGTCGTAACCCGGCTCCCAAACACCGTCATCGTCGGTGCTGTAAGTGGCGTAGTCGCCCTCCTCCCCAAAAAGCACACCATCGTCGTCTTCATCGAGAGAGATCACTTCGCTGCGCCGGTGGTGACGGGATGACTGCCGCTGCTGCTGATGCTGTCCGGACCGTAGCGCAACGACGGCTTCGTCTACAATCTGGCGAATCTCGTGACTGTTCGCGGAGCCCATCTCGGATGGCCTCTGAGACCCGCAGGCGGTCTTGTTTACTGTAGAAATGCAGTGAGGTGGGGAAAACGTACACGTTGGTGACAAGCTTTGGGCTTCACTTATTTATTTATAATAGCACACAGAGAGAGAAAGAACCTGGGAAGAGTGGCGGAGGCGCGATCTGTTCAGAGCTTGCTGTCTACCCCCTTTCCCTTTCTCAACGTGTCCGGCTACCCGCATACAGGTAACCGTCCGAGGTCGTTCAAGTCACACCATCAAACAAGAACACACGCCGTCCAATGCCCAGAAGCATTGATGGTTGAGTTGGCGATAGAGCCGACGACAGATACGGACTCGGTCGAGTTCAAGTCAGAACAAGCGGACGTCATAGAATGTGCCAAGAAGAAGGGGAAAAAAATGAAGAGGCAATTTGGCGTACGAGTTTCATTCCGTCCCCCTGTTAGTCGTTTGGGCTCGATCCTGTATCGGGCGCTTGCTTGCTGCAGGCAGGCGAAGTGAAGTGAGTGGTATATCTATCTGTTGCTGGACTCCGCTGTGAGCCTTTGGGTAGTTGTGAGTCGTACATGTTGGGTCTGGGAAGTTAGTTGCCAAAGACGAGCGGAATTGTTGAATGAAAAGGCGCAAGACCACAACACTGGCATATAAGATGGGTGTGCCAATATTCAGCCTCTGTCGTGAGGAGGGCATAACTCATTATATCTTAAGCCCTAAAATGACCAAACATGGTTCTAACTTCCGCCACTTCTTTACAGTTGACCGAGAAAATTGAATGCCATGTGGCGTAGTCAAAACAGAGGCCTATGAGATGAGCATCGTCACTAGGTGAATGTAGCAGCCTGTATGCCGGCCGTCCCAGCCGTCCTGCGAGAACTCAAGGCCTTGCCTTGATCAAGGTATGCAACAAGACGGGCAAGGCAACCCGCGATATTACAGTATACATTTCAAGATGAAGCCAAGGAGGCTAAAGACGCTAATGCTGGGAGGGGGTAAAGGCTTTACGCGTGATGCTGCGGCATGCAGAGGATTTCGAAGCCAGCGAGCGCATTGGCCAGAGCACAGCCTGTGACCTACCTCCATCAGGTACGTGATCAAAACCGGCTAGGTAGACGTGGAACTGGACAGTGTTCATCAGAAGCCCCTGGCCCCGGCAAGAGAAGCGGGCCGTCAAGAGATGATGAGAGGAGGGGGAATCAAGGGAGACGGCTCAGAAATGGGTGTTGTAAGTATTTCTGTTGGGCAAAAGTTTGATATTCTCGGCTACATGAACAGAAATGTTTGCCTATGAGGACGAGAATGTAATAATCTTTTCTTCATGAGCTAGCTTGGTATTGTATAATCTTGATAACACAACCCAAACGCAAAACGATGCTACTAGACCCCTACGCCGTATACGTATAGACAGAAAACAACACCATACACGCCACCCCCAATAGAAACAAACGCGCCTGTTCCCCAGGCCTGCCTTTGCAGGTCCTCACAGGTCCTGGCTCAACGCCAAACCCAACCCACGCTAGCCAGTCCCATTTGAACATTATCACGCCCTCCGTGTTTTTACTTCCCCACAAATCACACATCTCTTACAAGAAACCCTTGGTGAGACTAGGCGCCCGACTAAGGCTGCTTTTCCGCTTGGGCACAGATATCATCGAGGCCGTGTCGTCGTCGACGCTGAACCCCGTACGCCAGGCACCGCGAACGCTTCCCATGGCGGAGGCGGCTCCTTTTTCGAACCTCAAGGCCTTGATGCTCTCAAGCTCACGCTCGAGGCGCATGGCTCTCTCCTTTTCCTCGCGAAGTTCCCGCTCGGCGCGGCGTGCTTGGAGCTGGTTTTCAGACTCCGACGACTGAAGGTCCTCGATCGTCTGAAGAAGCTTCTCGGCCTTGTCACGCATGCGGGCCACATCATCTTGTAGCTGCGTGTTCTGCTTGTCCTTGCGGTCGATCTGGCCCTGAAGGTCCTTGACAATCCGGTCCACATTGCGGACCGATCGCTGGGACTTATTTCTTTCATTTTCGTGCTCTTCAAGCTGGGACTCAAGCTAAGGGTAACAATGTCAGTCAATGATCCACATGACGGCGGCCGGCACGCTGACTTACCTCTTGGATGCGTTTGTGCAGGAATTTGATGTCGTGGCTGGCACTCGAGTAGCCCTTAGTTTCGAGATCGACACATCTGATCTGGATCTCGTTCAAAGCCTTCTCGAGGGCTGCCTTGTCCTTTTGAAGCTGGGTGCTGGCCTCACGTTCAACCATGGCCTCCTTTTGCATTTCCGACGCCAATGCTTCAGCACGTCTCATCTTTTCTACCGCGGCTGCGGCAATGTCTTCCTTCTGTGCCAGACTGGACTTGAGTTCCAACATCTCCTTGTCGATGTTTGCAGCGTCACGCAGGGAAGCGCTGTCGCCGTTTGTGAGGTCCTCAAGACCAGCCTTGGCCTCCTCCAGGCGAGCCTCGATATTGCGCTTCTCTCGAACGAGGGAGTCCCGCTCGGAGGTAACTTCATCCACCGACGCGCGGAGGGATCGAACTTGGGACAATAGGGTAACGATCTTGCCTTGGGCATCGCTGTGGGCATTCACAGCCTCATCACGCGAGGACACAACGTCGGCCAGGGTTGATTCCAGGCGCGCCTTCTCCTTTGACCATGTCGAGCTGTTGAGAACTTCATCGTCCCACTTAGAGCGCAGATCGTCAAGCTCCTCGCGCAAGCGGGCGATCTCCGCTTGCTTGAAGAGCTTTTCTTCACGGGCCAGGTCCAGCTCCTTGGTCAGCGTGGCGAACTCGGCCTGGTACTTCTTCCGAGTCTGCTCCATGCTCATTTCCTTGTCCTCAATATCATTAGCTCTCTGGTTCCGGTAGTCCTCGAGCTCGTGCTGCAGGCGCTTTTTAGCTTGGGTTGCGGCATCAAGATCAGTCGAAAGGTCCTCAAGTTTCTCTTCCAGTCTCTGGTTCTGACGTTGCAAATCTTCGATGGTGGAGTCCATCTTCTCTCTTTCAGACATGATCTCGGCACATGTCTCCTCAGCTTCCTTGGCTTGCGTCTTCGCAAACTGTTCTGCACGACTGGCCTTCAAAACCGCGATTTCCGCCTGCTCCACCTTACTGAAATACTCATCAGCACGACTCTTGTACAGGCTCAAACTGGACGTGACGTCGGCAAGTTTGGAGGTTTCGTTGTCAAGTCGGATCTGCAGATCGGAGAATTCTTGCAGAAGCTGGCTTCGGCTGGCGGCTTCTTGCTCGCGAGCCATTGTCATTTCTTCAAGCTCGGACCTGGTGTCGCGGAGTTCAACTTCGATGGCAGCCCGGTCGTGGCGCATCCTTTCGAAATGGTTCTTGACATCTGATAGTTCCGAGATGGCATCCCTATGGCTATGCAGAAGTGAGCGACGCGCCTCTTCTTGGCTGTTGAGCGCGTCGAGAATCTCCTCGTGCGATCGGGTCTGAATATCACGCAGAGATAGCTCGCCAGTCCTGATGCATCTCTCCAGAGCCGATACCTTCTTAGCCGAGTCGTCCAGCATGTCGTGCAAGCGTCTGTTGACCTTCTCAAGTTTCTGCACCCGAAGAACCGAAGAGTTCTCGTCGAAATCGTCCGGAGGAGACGAGGTGCGCTCGAGCTGGCTCTGGAGATGCCGGTTCTGCATCTCAGCGATCTGGAGCTGGTTTTGTAACTCCTCGACTTCGGCCTTGAGATCCATGCGGTTGTTGAAGCTCAAGATATCCGCAGTCTTGTCGGAACGAGCCGAGTCAAGAGGTTCTGATTCGATTCGTCGAGTGGGAGTCGAGTTGTTCGAGTACTGGCGCGCCTGCAACTTGGACCGCCGGAATGTGGGCGAACCGTTGAAAGGAGCCTCATTAGGACTCATTTCTTCGAGCTTGCCTCTCACGGGAGAGTCAACCCGGGCGGAGCGCAGCTCAGCCAGCTGTGCCTCAGCGTTGGTCCGAGCAGCGGTTTGTACACGGAGGTTTTGCTGGAGATCCTCAACTTTCCTAACCAGGTCGAATTTCTTGCTAAGCGTGTCCTCGTTTGCGCCGTCTGCTTGAGGCGGGATGACAACTCCGGGATCGACTGTCTTGAGAACCTTCAGCATCTGAGCTCTCAACTCCTGTAACTCTTTCTCCCTAGCTTCCATAGTCGACTGCAGAGTGCGAACAGTGGCCTGCGCCTGCGTACGAAGCTGGCGTTCAGATTCAACGGTTCGGTTGGCTTCCGCTAGTTGCGCTGTGGCTGTCGACGCCGTCTTTTCAGCATTCCTCGAGGTCTTAGCTTCCCGAGCCACCTCGTGGTTCAGGTCTTCCAAGTTGAGCTGCAACTTTTCCACCTTCTTCTCTAGGCCAGCGATTGTTAACTGAGCCTCACCGAGCTGTTTGTTCAGCTGTGTGTTCTGCTCGTCAGCTCGGGCCTTTTCACGTTGCAGGCCCAGCACCTGGCTCCTCGAGGCTTCGCTTGCTCTCGAGCTCGAACGTGCGATTTCAAGCCCTTTTTGCTGGAGCTTGTTGAGCAGGGCGCGATTGTCGTTTTCCGAGGCCTTGAGGCGACCTTTGACAGTAACCAACTCTCGCTCAAGTCGTTCCTTCTCCTGATCATTCTTGAGCCCGAATTCACCAGAGGAGAGGATGAGCTTGTTGAGATCTTCAACTTGTCGATTGAGATTAGCGCACTCGTCTTCGAACCACTTTAGGCGTTCTTGAGCGGCATCCAGGTCTTTTCGCAAACTTTCCTCTCTTTCACGAGCGGCTCGAGAGACGGCCCGTTCGCCTTCGATCTCAGCTTGCATACGAGTTTCTTCAGCCTGAGTCTTGGCGACGCGGAGTCGTCTGATCTCCTGCCTTGCTTCGTCGCGTTCCCGTTCGGCCGTGTCGCGGGCTTCCTTGGTCCGTCGCAGGTTATCTTGTTGAACGTAGAGCTCCTTTTCTATAATAATCTTCGATTCGTTCAGGTGGTCGTACTCTTCCTGGAGGGTGTTGAACTTGTGCTCGCTAAGTAGCAAGACATCGTCTCGGGATTGGCGTTCCCTGCTAAGCTCCTTTTGGATGTTGAAGAGCTCATCCTTTAGATCTTTGATCTGGGCCTCCAGAACCTGGCGGTTCTTATCTGCCTGAGCATCTTCGGAGAGGCGAGTTTCGAGGAGCTTCTTTGCGTCTTCTGCTTCCCTTTCAAGCTGAGATTGCTGTGACTTGATGGCAGTTATCTCAGCCTGGACTTCCCGAAGCTTGGCTGCAGCGTTTTCCTTCTCGGATACCAGAGATTTCTTCTGTTCCTCAAAGGTGCGGCGTTCCATCTCATACTTCTTGTTATCACCTCGAAGAACAGAAAGCTCACTCTCCTTCTTCCGCACGAGATCTTCGTAATCTGTCGAAGTCTTGGATAGCTCGGAGAGTTGCTGCTGGACCTGGCGGTTCTCGAGAGCAAGCTGGGACTCTCTCGATTTGGATGACTGGAGTTCCTTTTGCGCTGTTCGCAACTTGACTTCGAGATCTTGGTCGACCTTGAGAAGCTTGCTCTCCAAGTCCCGTGCTTTACGATCTTTGAGGTTGAGCTGGCTCTGCAACATCTTGATCTCCTCTTCAAGCAGTCGCTCCTGCTCACTGCGTTCCGATTGCTTTTGAGAGATCTCTTGGATGGAGCGCTCCAGCTCTTCGGTTCGTGCTGAGAGTTCCGACTTTTCTTGCTCCAATCTCGCGATCAGCAAAGCCGCTTGCTCCAGTTGAGCTCGGTACTTCTCGACATCTTGCTCCGCCCTCTTCTTGGCTTCTAACAGGTCGTCGAGTTGGTCCTCCAGTCTCTCCTGGTCTTCTATGGCGCCGGAGAGCTTTTCTTCGAGTTCCGTTTCTCGCACCTGGAGGCGCTTGAAGATTTCCTCTTTGTCAAGGGCAAGTGCGCGCTCACTCTCCAAGGTCTGCTGAATACGGATCATCTCGCTGTGGACGTTGCGCCTGTCCTCCTCTAGCCTGTGGCGGTCTTCAGCCTCTTGCCTCATCTTGTCCTGGAGCTGACGGATCATTGTATCCCTCTTCTTGACCTCTGTAGCGCTGCGGGTGGCTCCCAGGAGGGGCTTCATCTTGCTGACAAGCTGCCACCACGGGTTTTCCATAAGGTCAAGGTAGGTATTGAAGTTTTTCTGAATGATACGTGTGGCCTCGGTTCGAAACAGCCTTTTGTAGGCGACACGTCGCTGGATGTAGCCGCGTGCAACAGACTGGAACCGAGACATGATCTCGGTGATGAGGGCGTCTCGTTGTTCTTCCAGTTCGGCCAGGACACCAGCTCGGAAGAAGACCTTCGTAAGACCCACCCGGTACAAGCTCTTATCCAGCCCGAGCTTCTCAAGCATCATTGCTGCCACAGCCTGGCCCTCCTGGTAACCTTTCGGCATGTTTTTGCAGAGAACCTCGTAGCGCTGACGGAATTCGGCAAAGGGGAGGCGATTGGGGAAACCAGTTCGGGCAATACGGATTCCTTCTAGCACACCATTACATCGCAGCTGGTCTAGGACGAGTAGTTTGTTGAACTGTTTGGGCTTTTTCTTGTGGTTTGGCAGGATGCAGCGAACGAAGTGAGGGTGAGTCGAGTGAAGCTGGGCCATCAGGCTGTGAAGCTGCTCTTTGTGGCGCTGAGCCACAGTCCGGAAGAGTCCCTTCTTGACCCTGTTACGACTGGCCCCAGGGTCATCGTCAACGTCGGTGCAATCGGCGAAGAGGTCGGCAATGTGCTTGTCTGTGGAGGATGCAAGAAGGCGAGTGATGTTATCATTCAATGGGTCTTTGTTCTTCTCAAGCCAGCCGTCAGTGGAATACTCGACTTCAGCCGCGTAGTGTGTAAGGATAAAGCCTTGGCCAAGCCGAGAGGGCCGGTACTTGTTCGACTTCTTGTCCCACAAAGAGTTCAGTTTTTCGGTGAAGGACTTGTCCGTCGCCTTGGGCATCACGCAGTCCTCGTCCAAGCAAGAGAATATACCGATGGGGTTGGGCAATTCGATAAGGTCGATTGTGGGTTGGAGGTCTCGACCAAAGTCGATGAACTGCCACTCAATCTGTTCCCTCGCATATTCTTCTTGCTCGAGAACGAACATGTGGTGGTTGAAGAACTGCTGAAGCTTTTCGTTGGTGTAGTTGATGCAGAGCTGCTCAAAGCTGTTTTCCTCGAAGATTTCGAAACCGGCGATATCCAGAACACCAATGAAGCGCGAGTCGTCCAGTCCCATACCCGTGCGATCTAGCTGATGGTTGATACGTGTAACGAGGTCGCCGAAACTTCTTTCATAGATACCCTTGGACAAGGCGTCAAGTCCCAGACGGACCTGCTCAGGTGTCTGAACCTTTTCGACCCATTCGCGGCCTGCCTTGACTCTGGGGTGAAGGAGGCCTTGTAAGAATGGCTCAAGGGGGACACCGAGCAGCTTACACACCTTGGCTGCTTGCTCCTTGGCATCGGGGGCCAGCCGGGCTTGGTCTGCAGCACGACTTTCCTTGACAACGGAGATGTTTCCCAAGTGCAAGACGGCCGCAATGGTACGGATGATTGAGCTTTGGTCCTTGTCTGAAAAGCCCATCACACTGAAGGCCTCCATCAACAAATCCCACTCCTCGCGATCAGAAACTCCAACAATGGTGTCATGACCGGCGCGCGTATACGCAAAATCCTCGACGTCCATGCCATCCAGGAGGAATTCCTGCTTCAGTTTCCTGTCCGCACCCTTGAGAAGCTGGTAGAAGATGTGGTAGTTTCTCTCGTGCCCATTGATCCTCACAACACGAGACTTTTCTAAGAGGTACCAGTCGATGAATGCTCCAGAAATTGCACCACTTCGATTGAACTCGATACGGATGAACTTTCCAAATCGCGAGGAATTGTTGTTGCGTACCGTCTGAGCGTTGCCGAAGGCTTCGAGAATAGGATTGGCGCGGAGAATCTGTTGAGAGAGGTTCGATTGTTGAGACTTGCTCTTGACCGGGGACTCTGAATGGGCAACAGCCGCAAGGTACTGGATGACCTTCTTGGTGTTCTCGGTTTTGCCGGCACCAGACTCGCCAGTGACGAGGATGCTCTGGTTTTCGCCCTCATCCACTAGGTTGCGGAAGGCGTGATCGGCCATGGCGAAGATGTGAGGCTTTGTGTCTTCCCTACTCCTGCCCTTATACATGTTGATATATTCGTTTGTGTATATCGGCAGCGGACAGTAAGGGTTGACTGTGACTAAGAAGAGACCAGAATAGGTGTAGATCAGGTCGGCTTGATATCTCATGTGGAGGTTGTGGACCACAGATGCTTCGTTCAGATGGGTCAACTCGGCCATATCGTTTGCCTTGTCGAACTTGGCAGGGTTGACTTTGTCGACGCTTTCAGCGTCTACTTCTCGTTGCTGTTTGCCTCTGGATGAGCTACGTTACAAGCGCACGCAGACCAGAACACTTACTGTGCCATCGTCGCACTGAACGAGGATCTTGTTGCCTCCGGTTTCTTCAACCACCCAACCCCTCACGAAAGCGGCGTGTGGGTCCTTAAGCCACACATAACGCTTTCCCGAGAAGTCATTCTCTCCCTCGATGCCCCTGACCGCGTTAGACTCTCCGCGCATTTCCTCGGCCTTGATGAACGAGGGCGCAAAGGTCCCAGAGCCACTGTTCCTCGAATCTGAGCGGTTATGGCGGAAGTGACCAGTTCCCGAGAACATGACGGGTGCCGCAGGTGCCGCGGGTGCTATTGACGCAGTCGAATTGTTTTTGACATGCGACGTTGGCGTAGACACAGCTGATAGCGGAGATGGGGAGGAGAAGATTGCGGATTTCGGCCGACTGCTGCTAGGACCGGGCGAAGTCCTAGCGAAAGGATTATTGCGCGGTTGCGCCATGATTTGGGGAATCTCTGGAAGAATGGTATCGTTAAGATAAGGGGGTTCTCAGAATCGTGGGTTATGTCGTGTCGTTCGTCGCAAAACGTCTCTCGTAGATGTCCCGCTCATGGAGTAAACATTAAGACAGAAGCAAAGCTGACGAAGGGCAATACAGTGGCAATTCGTGAAAGGAAACAATGTGAAAGAAGTCGCCGAGTCGCAGGCTCTAGGACGAAATTGCTGTTGCGAAAATGACAAGACCAAAGCAAGCTCGGGGAGGCTGGGGAGTGGAGGATTGACATTCGACGTAAGGATGGATATTGTTGACTTTAGGCCATGAACAGGGATACAAGACGACGGTTGCTCAGGGTACGCCTGATCAAAGTAAACAATGGGGGGGCAAGGGGGGGTAGGGGTATTCGGGACACGTGACAGACGCCAACTCCAATGGTGACGCGAGACCGTCGCAGTCAGGCCAGCTTGAACCGGACTAGCCCCAGCCCGAGGACCCCTCCCTCTTTGCACGGCCTTTGAGGTGGGTAAGTACGGACATTTGACTTTGGACTTTCCCCAAGGATCTTCGATTCGACTCGACTGTCCGAGCCGCAGCCGCCAGTTGGTGGCATAGAACTTTGATGCCGACGCTGGCCTTTCTCCCAAGCACACGCGTCCAGCGACATCAATCAATCACCAACGTTCCTCAACTCTCAAAGTTCTATCTTTGCGACAGGAGAGAAAAATATACGCGGGGTTTTTTTTGGGATCGCTTATCCTTGCAGAAGCTTCTCGCTCTATCTAAATCCGGAGAGCCCACCACCGCCTCTGCTGGTTGGTACGCGCCCACATCTGAGGCGCATGACGATTGTTTTTCCGACGAGATTTTTATTTTTATTTTATTTTTCGCGCCGTGAAATCTCCTCTGATCATCCTAGTTCGACAAAGCAGGCAAACCACCAACCGACCTTGGCCACATCAAACCCCCGGTCACTCCTCTGCAAACTGCCATGCTTCTTTTGCTTTTCCAGACCATAGACCTGACTTGCCCGGATTTTATTTGCCTGCTTTTGTTGTTCTAGCGATTCTAGCGCAACAAGCCACGGACCGCCGACGGATTGTTGGGGCGGCATCCACAACCACAGACCTCGATCCCTACGTGGCTGCCAGTTGCGCGCGCCGCGCACTTGCCCTTCCGAGGCATCGTCCTTTTTGAGTGACCTACATTTGGCAGTCAGTCGCTTCCAATCGCGCAATCACGGTCGCAGTCCTCCAGGATGAACAATTACTATCCATACGGGTACTCACCATACCCGGGGCAGGCGCCACCTGCACAGCAGCAACCCTACTTCCCAACCATACCGCCCTTTCCTCCCCCAACGACAACCTACCCTCCGCACACGAACGCCTTTGATGCCCGTCCTCCCGTACCAGACTCGTACGATCAGAACCAACCGATGATTCCAGGTCTCGGCTATGGTCATTCCCAAGGCTTTGGTTGGCCCCAGCCGCAGCAACAGCAACCGCCGGTGGCATCTCAAGTTCCTTACCCACAAACGTGGCAGCCTCCGCGCGAGGGGCCCAACCTCATCCCAGCAGCGCAGTACTACCAGTCGGACGATGCAAACAAGCCCCAGGCACCTATGGCCTCGAGGGTACTTCCACCTACTGCGCCCAAGGGCCTTGTAAAGCCAACGAGTGACGATGCCGAGGAGGGCGAGCTAAGCGACGGTCAACTTGACGATGTCTACGAGCCGCAAGAGACTGTTCCCGGTGCCAGTGCCCAACAACCTGACGGAGACTCACGGGCGGCTGCGAAGATGGCCGGCCAGAACGGAAGCAACAGTACTGGATGCGCAACTGCGGCCTGGTACGGCAGTGCGAAAGATGACGGGATCAAGACTCCCGCAGCTTCTGGCATCGATGGCATGTATCCCACGAGAACACTATTTTGGATCGCGGCTGACAAACAGACAGAACGAGAGCGGTCCGGATCCTACTCCCCCCACCTGTCTCCTCACGAAGTACACTCGCACATTGAAGCGAATAACCAACACAGTAGCTCTCCGCAGACACACATGTTCCGTGGCCAGGCTTCCCAGTCTTCGCTGGCCAGCGCCGGTCAGCAGTCGGGCAAGAAAGCCATGGAGGATGCTCGGCAAAGAGCCCGGTCCGCCATTCTCAGCTTGTGGCCGCTAGGTATCCGTCAGCAGGACTTTGTCGACGAGGGCATCGATAGGACTGTTGTCAAGGACCTCTTGGCCGAACTGAAACTGGATCCGGGCACCCCAGGCCAGAGTACCATTCCTGGTCTCTCGACTACTACACAACCACCGGATCTCTCTCAGTCGTACGGCCAGTCCAGCTCTCAGGCTACCAGTACGCCTGTACCAGCAGCAATATCGAAACCTACGGGTCCGGTGTCGTTCACGGCGGCTAAATCAGCCGGGGAAGAGAGAAAAGATCGGATCGCGCGTCTGTTGGCAGCAAAGGGCGCAAAGCCCGGATCGTCGGCGCCTAACAGCAGTACACAGGTTGCGAGTACGAGCGAGAAGACAAATGTCCAGCAACAGAAACTCGATGCCCTTCAAAAGTCCCGCGAAGCTCGAGCTCAGAAGGCCGCAGAACGAAAGGGATCATTGCAAGCGGCTCAGTCGAAGGAGACATCCCCAGCATCACCGACTCAGAGATCCTTATCAGCAACCGCTGTCGCCCCGACCGGTCCGTCTGCGAAGCAAAATGCCCAGGCTGGTCTCTCGCAGCAACCGGCTCCTCAAACTGCCCCTGCGTCGACTATTCCTGGTCTTTTCATGGCCACCCCGCAACCTGCCTCTGTTACTCAGCGGAAACGACCAGTCGCAGCTGACTTCGTGTCCAGCTTGAATGCCAACAAGCGGCCGTTTGGCCCCACACAGCCAAGCAAGCCCTTTGTCATCGATGTCAGTGATGCTTCTGACGACGAGGATGTTGAGATGGAGATAGGGTCTCCAACGGACGATCCAGTGAGCATCCAACGCACTGACACGCCGTCTCGAAAGACGGCGTCTTTCCGTGACTTTCCCCCGTTAACAGAAGGTCTTCGCCAGCGCCAGCTCTCTAGTCCAGCTCCGAGCCATGTCGTCACGCCTCAGTCTGGTATCACAGGTACTCAGCCAAAGCAAGCCCATATTGATGTCATGGATAAACAGATAGAGGCCATGAAACGGAAGATTGCCCTAGCTGAAGCTCGCGCCAAGCTGAAGGCTACAATGAGCAACCAGTCAGGTGTTCCGAAGTCCAACAGACAGCCACCAGACACTACTCTTGATTCAGAGAGTAGTAAGCCAGGCATGCGGCGAGTTCAGTCTATGGATGCATCCAGTGCATCTGACCATCCCCACGGCCAGACGTCTCCGGCAATGGCCGGACCCAGTAGTTCCATGCGCCTACCCAAGCTGTCCGACAAGCGCGTCAAGGATGACTCGAGCCGAGCCCAAAAGCTCCGCGTGGTCAGCACCAATCTTCCTCTTATGGAGAGTCGTTTGCAGGCGAAGAGGAGCAAGCTTCGCCTTCTTCAATCGCAAATGTCTCGTCTGGAGAGAGAGATTGAGGAGGAGATGGCGGAGAAGCAGAAGTTGGCTGAGCAGATGGAGCAGCTCGACCAGGACTCTGATGAATCGGGTGAGCCCCAAAATCAGCTCAAGAGCAATTCTGGTTAGTCCTCGGCTCGATTACATACACCTTTCGCAAAGATGGCTAATCAACGTGCAGTCGATCCAGTTGTCACTCAGGCAGCGACAGGACTTCTGCCCAAGGCACAAAGCCCATTGCCTGCCGCCGCAGCAGCCCTTGTGGACCAGAGCGTCGGTACAACTGCTGCAGCTTCCAACGCCGCGGTCATCAGCCCCTCCCAGGCCCCTTCGACGGAACATGATAGGAAGGCTTCTACTCCTCTGCGAGAAGTCGCGGTCATTGGTAAAGCCGCAACAAGTCCCCCTAGAGACCCACCCTCCACAAAAAGCCCAGTGTCTGCTGCTCCCAAGATTCCTGCCAACCACGAGGTCGTAGGTAATAACGAGGAGTCTCAGCCTGCTACAAGTGATGATGCCTCTGATGTTGTCATGGGCGAGTCTGATGAGTCGAGTTCTTCGGAGCAAGACCGAGAGCCCTCTTCAGGTGCCTCCAAACCCCCTGACAACACCACTTCCGCAGTGGCGACAAGGTCTCCATCCTTCAGTCTAGTCGCGGCTGACAGCTCTATCTCGCTAGTCAATAGTGACACTGACTTGCAGCAACAAAGTTTTAGAGCCTCACCAATCCCTGAGCAGATCTCGCTAGGAGTCAATGAGTCGACTCCTGAGCAGGGAGTTGATGCCGTGAGAGAAGTACACTTCGTTTCACGCCACGCGCACACTTCAACAACTGACTTCTTTGGCAGGCCCTGCCCGTTACACATAGTACTGCTGAGCCCTCAACCGCCGACCGCTTCACCCCCTACGAGAGTCCGCTCCAGTACTTCCGTGCTTACCGATACCATCCCAAATTTGCTGAAACCGTCCCTGGCGGGCTTCGGTCCCTCACCTACAGCAACAGGATCGACCCGAACCTCCCCATCTGCCCAGATCAGCTGGCCAGCCGCGACTGTCCCAGGGGTGCTGACTGCATTTACCAGCATTTCGAGTCCATGAAGCTGCCGGGTAGGTCGCCTTCACCCCGCACGGACTAATGACCACGTCGCATGTTCTCGAAGCATGTTGAGCGCTGACGGTCGTCCCCCCACGCTCTAGACGACCAAATCCTCCTCCAGCTTGGCGGTACTACATACGAAGGGCCTGAAAGGGCAAAGTTTAATGAGGGGTTGCGGAAGCTGCTCCAAGAGATGAGATCGCAGAACATTAAGGACTTCCCCAGCATTGCACAAGGCATTGTCGACTATCGCAATCGCTTTATCGGCGATCCGTCAAAGATCCTGCCTCTTGGCAACGTCTCGATCTAGATGACGGCAGATATGACTGGACCGGCATGGCTCCTCGTATCTCTCAATCATTCGTAATACCCCCCTAAAAGCACCTGATTGAGTACAAAGCTCGTTTCCCTTTCCTTTGGCGTCAGGCAATATTGTTCATTTCATTCGTCTTTACATACCCCGCGTACCCTAAGCTCAGGCTTCAGAGCCAGCTCAAGGGCCTCGGATGGCGTTCGCACGATACCCCCTCCTTGCGTTACTTTGATAAGTGATTCAACCTGATGTAAACATCAGGAATGAGGCATAGGTACAATGGAAAAACGGCAAGTAGGCAACAAAAAAATGGACCTGAGTGGAGATACCACTCTCCAATAGTGAGAGTAAATTGAAGGACAACAGAGCTTTGAGTGCTTGCTGTCGTCTCAAAAGAGCAGTTGGTTAGCCCTACATAAACAGTTTAAATTATGTTTCCAGCTCCTGCACATCTCATGGCCTGGTGACATGGCGTACAATATGTCTTGTAGCGATTTTGCGTATCAATAAATCAGAGAACATATGTATTGCAAGTGTGGACGTTTGGAAAGTGGCAGGTCACGAACTGCGGAGAAGGATAGGAGATATCTAACCCGTGGCAGTCATATAGGATTTTTTTTCCAAGGTCACCCACGACAACAGAGCCAACGTCGGCGTTGGCAGGGGATATATCGCTTTGTGCAGGTGGTGGCAGTCATGCCTGCTTTCACGGAAACCCGGATGACATACCGTTGTGGCTCCTGCCTACCTACTACCTGAAGTGGCGCAACTGCCTACCCAAGGTACTGGTGAAATCAGGGATGAGAGGTCGTTCTTGCGGGTTATCCTGTCTGCGCTTATGCTCGAGACCTTTCTCCAACCTGTCTCCCTGCTAATAAATACCCCTTCTCCCACCACTCCCATCCACCTCTTCTTCTTCCTAACTCCATCCACATCCATCCACATCCACATGAATTTCTTGCCAAGCTCAGTCTTGATCCTACGCACTCCATCACAGCATTATCTATTACAGTATCATTCGTTATAGCATCATTCATTATATCATCATCTATCACATCATCATCCATCACAACACCACCCACCACAAGACGTCCTTCACAGCACCATCCTCGAAGATGTCTTCCGGTGGCAACATCCCACCGCTTTCTGACGAGCACTCTGACTCTCAGAGGCACGCGACAATTTCGCTTCTTTGCCCAAGGATCAACAGATCGCCTATGGATTCAACTTGGTGGTTAACATTCACAACATGCTGGTTCGAATGGATTTCAACGTTTGAAAGCAACCACGAGCCAGCTCGATGAAGACATCAAAGACCTAAAGGCGGGCGCCGACATGAGGATCTCTGCCAGGTTTGTTCCTCCTGCCTCTTTCCAATGTTTACAAACTAACATCATCTAGAAACATCAATAAGCAACGACGCTTCAGGAACCTACGGGCCATTTGGAATCACCAAGGCTACATGCAATTTCAAGTTCGTCTCATACTTCACCTGGTTGATCCCAACACATGAGTCGAAATCTTCAGCTTCCCTCGAACCCTTGAGGAATTCTGGACTTTGCCCTGTAGGTTCTACGTTTAGACCTTCAGAGACATTATTTGCTAACGTTTTTAGTTGACGAGGTAACTCGGATCACAAAGATTTTGGACGCGTCGTGACATCAGATCAACAATGGCCTTGTGGTCTGTGTACATGATGACAGGGGGTACGTTTGATAACGGATCCGATGTTGTGTCTTGGCGACTGCCCAAATACATCCACATACTTCCAATTCCGTTGACCATTATCGCTTTTCAGCGTTTTTGAGTGATCGGGAAAGGCATGCAATTGGGTGGATAGATGTACGTGGAATGGATGTGATCTTGGTTGTGTCACCTCCGGGTATCGAGATGGGCCAGCAGGTGGAAGGTAGCCCCTCCTACGCCCGACTCTTGAACTTGATTGCCGGTGGTGATATTTGACGATGGTGTCTACGTACCTACTGTGACGTCGGAGGTGGCTGCATTGGCACTTGGCGATGGGGGGGATTTTCTTTTTTGGAGTCTGTGACTACATACTCTGTGGCATAACCAGCGCATCAATTACAGCCTGTTGGACTTTGGCAAAATGGTTGTGTAGGAAACCAAACAGAAGCATGTTCCTTTCCTTCCGTGCCTTGTATTTATTATGTACATTTATGTCCCTGCTCTGTATTTATGTCTCTCACTGCTGCATCAGATGAAAAAGAACCGCCTGGAGCAAACAGCATTTTCGAGAGTGAAAGACAACCAACTTTCTCTCAGCTGCACCAAGACTTTTTATCCAATCGGGGCTGTTCGTGCTATTAATGTGTCAATATTAACAATTACACCTCTTATCCACAATAGCCTCCTCCCCTCCAATCTTTGCCACAAGCAAAGCATCCCTCGAGGTCGCCCTCATCGACGCCGGCACCATCAGACTTCTTGGGCGGGGTCTCTTTGGGTGGTGTCCTGGGTGGTGTCTTGGGCGGCGTCCTGGGCAGCGACCTCGTTCTCATCAATAATAAAGTTCACCATCTTGAAGGCCGGCTGCTCCGAGCGCTCCCTCCTGACTATCTCCCTGCGAGGGGGCGGGTTGAGCAGCTCCTTGCTGCAGAAGGCCGGGTGGAAGACGTTGAGGGCCAGCACGGCGGTGGCGATCATGGCGCCCTCGAAGGCGATGAACAGGTCCTGGCGGGCCATCAGGGGTCCGGTCCAGCCGCCGCTCAGCTCGATCACGCGGAAGATGCAGCGGGCAAAGATGCAGACGGTGGCGAGGCTCAGGGCGACCAGGAAGGCCTTGAAGCGGCGCGAGGCGCGCAGGCACACCATGGCCGGGTGGTTGTCGAGGGTGAGGGAGAGGTTGGGCAGGTGGGCGCCGCGGGCGCGGAGGTAGGTGCGCAGGCCGAAGTCGGCGGCAACGGCCATGAAGAGGAGCATGGTGAAGACCTGGAAGGCGAGGCCGGCGAGCATGACGTTGTCGCCTGTGCTGGTGGACTCGTTGCGGTGGTGGGCGACAGAAGCGAGGGCGCCACCAACGGCCTGGAGGACCAGAGAGGTCAGGTCGCAGGGGATGAACTGAGAGTTGGTTAGCTGGTGCGTCCCATTTACGTAGGGCTTAGGGCAGAGGTAACTTACAATTCTGGTGTACCATTCGGGCGGGATCCTCGAGTTTTTCGGCTCGAAGGCGGTCACGATCTGGCGGATGCAGAGGTAGATCGCGGCAGCCAGGAACGCCGGGGCCGTGGTGAGTGCGCAGACCTGTATCATGAAGCCGGACTCTTCCCACTGGTTAGTCCAGCTCATGATCCTCCCGATGTACCCGACGACCTCGGTGAGTACACCCAGGCCCATGGCGATGTTGAACGCCAGGCCGCGGCGGGTGGCGGCGAAGGTGGCCATGAAAGCGATGAGGGCGAGGCCGAAGAGGGCCACGAAGAGGACGTTGGGGGCGAGGGCGATGCGGTACATGTAGTACGACGGCACGCCTTCGCAGTACTTGCTCATGGGCTCCTCGTAGCAGAAGGCTGGCATCCACTCGGCGTACTCAATCTTGAGCTGGTCTACGACCTCCTGTGGAGGAGGGTTCTCGAAGCTGTACCCGTACTGGGTCAGAACGATTTCGAGGTACTTCTTTGCACCCATTATGTCCGCAATTCTTAACGGTCGCTGTTTTGGTTATTTGGTTGAGTGGTTGGATGGTCGGTTGTGGTGGTTGGACTCGTGATGTCTGGTCTGTCTGACAAACCTGTCGAGATTTGTGTGCTGTGTAGAATCGAGAAATCAAACCAGGAATGCCGGGAGGGAGGGGCCAATTTAAACCTCTACCCTTTGGTAACGGAGATAGGTTTCCCCCTCTCGTAACGGAGATAGGTTGCCTCAGACTTGCGTTCGTACCCAAAAGGGTCATCGAGCTTAATAGGACGCATACAGTGTGGCTTCAACAGCGACGGGGTACTTGTGAACGTAGCTCACAACGATTCCACTGAACCATGGGCGACAACATATCAGTCGTCTTCTTGGTTACACAGTGAGGATCGTTCTGATAAACATTCTCATGAAGCCATCCATCCATCTGGGTCCTGGTTGGACCATTGGTCACTCACTCTAACCTACTTGCACAGCATGGCAGACAGACCGACCTTGGGGACGCATAACTTACGGGACGATATACTTTGAACCACAACGCAAGAAACCCTCTATGTCATTGGACGTTGTGCCATCAAAAGTTTTCAGACTTGGTACGATTGTAGGAAACCTGATTACGACGTTGAATGTTGAAACCTCCGCAGGGGTAGGTGTAAACGAAGAACACAGGGGAGTCACCCAGGTGCTTAGAAGTTGGCAAGCAAGTTCTGGGGCAGAACAATCATCTACGCCACGTCGTTTATTCGTTTACAGCAAATATACTACACGCGTCGTAATGATGTTTAGGTTCAGACAAAATCCTACACACTCTCTTCTACGGCGCAACTGTCACACGCTTCTTCTTCTTTCCACTCTTGTTTTCGTCTGCCTTGGCGTTTCCTAGCCCCTTAGCATCGATCGGGCTCTTAGTGACTACACCTCCTAGAGCCTTGCTCGTGCCAAGACTTATCCCTCGACCCTCGCGCATGCTGTCCAGACTGAGATGGCTTCCTCCACTTCCTCGTCGGACGCCGATACCTTTAAGCTTGGCTGTCGGCGAATCACGCATGTCCAGTGGGCTGTCGGGCCTCTCTTCCCCCTCAGCTGCACGGCTGCTGGGTCTATCCGGGGATGGCGACGGTGATCCGTCTTCGTTCACAACCTGGGAGTAAGGGGTCCGCATCCTGGTGGTGTGATGGGGTGATGGGATTGCCGAGGGGCGGTCTCGAGTCTTGTTCTGTGGGGAGGACGTGTCGAGACCGTTGCCATTTTGTCCCTCGTCCGCAGTGTTTGAGGTATCACTAGCAGACACATCGCTTTCCTTGTATGCGTGCTTAGTATAAGCGTTCCCAGAGCCCAGGAGACTTTCCTGTCTCGCGAGCTGGTACCGGTCGTACTCCTCTTTGGTATGCAGAGCATCCGTGAAACTGTCGAGGGCATCAAAGACGTGAGGAAAGACTTGGGCATCAACATCGCGGCCCCACAGGAAGTCAAGGTGTTCGTAATGAGGGATCTCGGTAGCTACAGTCTGCGGTGGGAGTTCCTTGATCATGACCTTGATATCGACCAACGAGTCGCTGCCGCCGTACACAAGGACGATGGGCGTCTTGATGTTTCGCGTGGGATACTTGGCGACCTTGGTGTACTTGCTCGAGGAACTAATCGAGACAGGGGGGTGGACGTCGTCGTCGTACATCTGGAAAGACTTGTTCCGAATGATCTGAAACCAGTGAACCACACTCTTCGTACTGGTGAAAGAGTAGAGGTGCGGGTATGCGGCGAATTTTTGACTGAGAGTTATGTTTTTCGTCTGCCAGTTGAACAAAAAGGAAAGACCCATATCAATGAATCTAACAAAGATGGGAGGGTAGAGAATGGACTGCCACATGGTGGCTGAGCTGAGAATAGATCGACGACCGAAGAGGAGGAACAAAACCTGAGGCGAGGCCTTGATCAAGGCGTCGACGATTCCATTAGAAAGGCCGGCAGGTGACATGGCCGGTGCCAAAGCGATGAACACATTGACCTGCTGGTTAAGCTTTGGGTGGATTGCAAGGGTGGCAAAGGCCTGCGCAGTCCCTTGTGAGAAGCCAATGTATGACAAGCTCTCCTGCTCCGTCGTCCCGAGGATGTAAGCGATGCTGTCTGGGATATCATGAAAAGCGAACTCGTCGATGGAGAAGTTCCAGAATTCAGGCGACTTGGGCGAGTGATGTACCGACTTCTTGGAATACTTGTTGCCACGGTTGTTACCAAGCTTGAATACCCATCAGCGTTGCGTTCAAACGAATGCGAGGTGGAACACTGACCCAAACATCGTAGCCCTGCTCAGCGAGCACAAAAGGAAGACATCGCTGTTCGCTTGTCAAGCAGACCCAGACTTCCGAGTTCATCAGTAGACCATGGTGAAGATACACGACCTTCTTCTTCAAGCTTCCGGGACCACTGTTGACCTTCTGCCCCTCCTCTCCTTTTTTCCAGGCCAGGCGGTGTAGGCCAAGAAGATATCCATCTTTGGTCTGAAGGACGTGCTCCTCGGCTTCGTAACCATACAGGTGGCAGAGGTCGACAAAGTCAGAGGCGTCTCTCACGGACGTCGAGATTGCTGCACAACACCCCTTGCGGTTAGCCCAGTCGCATCGCGAGGGTAGAACGGCCTCTACGACACCAACAATTCTTACGCTGCTCTACGCGCTTGTTCGCCGGGGCGGAGAACCGGTGGAAGAGACGACGGGAAGCTCTATAGAAGAGATGGATGAGTGGCGAAGCTGCGAGAAACCGGATTAGCTGGCTAGGACGCCACCTTTTGGGGAAGGCGCAAGTTCGTACGTAGAGCCAGAGTCAAGACGCGGATGATAGCTTCGAGTCCGACCAGGAGAAACGACCCTACCAAAGCCAAATATTCAATGCTGCGCAATGCCATCAGTTCCAGGTCACGTCTTATCCGCGAACTACAGCCCGTGGGGGGGGGGGGGGGGGAGACGAAGGATGGGGAGGAGGGGAGGGAGATGCTTAAGCTCAACGGGCTTCGAGGGTTTCTTACATATTTAGTCGACCGATGAAAGGGATGGCCATCGTGGTACGCGATTTGGTTGGAACGAGATTAGTCGAAAAAAAGAAAAGCTGTGGCGCAACGGAACGAGGTATGTCTAGGAGGGAAGAAGGAGGGGGATTTCAAGCCATAATCACTCGCAAAACCGAGAACAACAAAAGCTTTATGTTCCGAATTCCGGATTAGCGATGGACGAGGGCGATTTGCGTTGGCGCTCGCGCCAAATGTGTCACCGTCACCGTAGCGTTTCTACAGGTGGACGGAGGTGGAAGAGAGGATGGGAGGAAGCGATGCGAGTGAGGGTGATGTCACATGTGAGATGCAGCAATGATCTGTGAGCAAGAAGCTCCCAAAAAGGTCCAGGTCCAAGGTCACAGCACACTTGGGTATCAGCTAATACTCCTGTCCCAATTCCTAGTCCCAATTACTACCCAATCACCGATCTGACAGTTGTGTCAGGGGCAGGGACTCCGTCGCGTGCTCACCCATGGTTGGGCGACGGGGTCTCGACCCTTGATAGATAGGTACCTCGGTGGTAGTGTGGAGTTTCTTGATTGAAGGACTGCAGGGGACATCAACCTTGGCGGCCTTCTGCACCTTGCAGAAACAAACCGCTGCACTGCACGGGAGCGGGTCCTTGCGACACGCTCTCGGCCAATCAGAGGGCGTTTGAAAATTTCCCCGGTATTACTCGTCGCGAACTCGAAGCTCCGACAGCTCCAAAGGTCCATCGCACCACCATTCGCATCTGTGTCTATCCACCGAGGGAATGCCACAGCACCGTCGCCGCCATGCCTAGCTCTTGCAAAGAACTGCGTATGTCTTCCCTCACCCACAACCCTGGGCAGTCTTCAGCATCAATGTACTGACCTACCCAGGCGAGGCCCTCGCGCAATGCCTCCAGGAATCCGAGTGCGTCATGGTCCAGCGCAACAGCGCCTCCGACTGCCTTCGCTCCCCCCTCGTCGAGACCCTCCCCACAAAGTGCCAGCAGCTCAAGAAGGGCTTCGGCGAGTGCAAGCGCGGCATGGTCGACATGCGCAAGCGCTTCCGCGGCAATATGCCCGTCAACTACAAGACTATGAACGACGCCGAGGCCGGCAAGGGCTACCAGCTCTACGCCGGGCGCCCGGCCTTCGCTGGCGGCAGGGGTGAAACCGACGGCAACGAGCCTGCTCCCAAGGACTGGCGTGAAGTTGAGAACGAGCAGTACAGGAGGGAGCAGGAGGCGGCCCAGAAGAAGTAAGAAGAATCGGAAGAGAAGAGGAGGGAAAGGGGGGCTGCCGACAGAAGGCACCGACACACCACTTGTACAGTCTATGTGTATGATCTGGACAGCGAAGCATCGGAAGGCGTCATGGAGTTTTACAAGAACTTGGTCTAATCACCGGAAATATGGGTCAAACCCACGGTGCATCTTTTGGGTCCTTACAAGACATCCCGACTCAATGATAAGGCGTAGCATACAATCGCTTTGCTTGCGAATTCCGAGATTCTCCTACGCTAATTCAACTTCGAGCCAATTAGGTTGGGCATTAGGAATCCCCCGCCTAGTCTGGGTGCACGAAAACATAGAGTTCGCTCGGTCCTCGCCGGTGATATCATAACTGCACGCTTGTCCGGGAAGAATTACAGTCTCATCAGCCTCCAAAATGTTCGTCATAAAGCTCATGCAGCAGATGGTACAGTTGCTCTAGGGGACAGAACGAGCCCGCGCATGCCAGCCGTGATACCTTCCAGCCCGCTAACCTCCGAGTGATTGTCGTCAGACTTCTAGTCGTCGTCCAATCCCTGATTCTCAGGTGGCACGTAGTAGGGGCCCCGGGGATCGGCCCAAAGCTCATCGGCATTCAATCCCAACCTCTCTGCAACCATCTCTGTTGCATCGCGCTTTGCCTGGAGGACTCGGGCAGCCAGGGCCTCGTCATCGTCTTGGTCCTTCTGAGGAGCGTAAAGGTCGACGTTGGCGGCTCCAGACAATCGATGCAGTCTGAAGGCAAGCCACTGAATAGATACGAGGTCCCAGTTGGGGATTTTTCTGCGGTCATCCGACCAGATGGTAACCGTATGCCCGTTATCCAGTGGCGTCGCATGTGCGTTGTCGCGGACGTTGTCCGCGTCCCATTCTTTCCAAAGCTCTCGTGGATCTGCATCAACCGTAGGAGGGCTGTCATCAAGCCCTCCCAACGTGGTCTTCCTGAGCCAATGGAATCGAAGCTCGATTCCGTACATGAGCTTCTCTTGGTCGACAGACTTAGTCTGTTTGCCTGCCGCTTTCTTGTGCGGCGGCTGGTGTTCGGATGCTTCCGCACCTCTTTTCACAGCAGACGGCCCACTTCCAGGTTTCTCCTGAGAATCTGGCTTCTCAACGGTCTTGTATTGTTGTAGGCGGCGAATAGGCTCGAGGCCAAACACCCCATCGTCCCACAACTTGTGAAGCTGATTACTCAGAGTAATCATGTTTGCCGGTGAGTCAAGGAGGTCGAAATCACCAGGCGCAGTCCTTTCGCCTGCTGGGGTCGTTTGTTCCAGTATGCCCAAGATTCTGTTAGAAAATTCAAGGCCCAAAATGTCCATGAGAGGCGCAATGACGGTACGCTGTATCTCCGTCCGCCGCGAAAGTGACCAGAACGGGCACATATGACACTCCTCTATGATCGCCGAGTGCGTCAGAACGCACCGGAAACCGTCTCGTCTTGGGGCCTTTAGGTATGTTAGTAATAGGGACTGGAAATGATAGAATTGCAGAAATTACGTACCGCTTCCCTTTGTGCTCCACTGCGCAACCAAATCTGCTCCTTTGTTGATGTAGGTGTCTCGCTCACTGCAAGCCGTTAGTCGTGTAAAAACGGGATGAGAATGGGGATGAGAATGGGGATGATGATGCAGATGAGTGATATCAAGAGACCTACTCCACCATATCAGTCCGCCCACGTTGCAGCAAGCCATCAGGAAACCATGGAGACTTCTCTGCTTCTGTTTTGCATCACCAGCGCACAAACTATCGCGGAATTCGACAAGGTTTGTCCATTCCATGGTCAATAATACCGCCCAGCATCTCGCAGATGCGAGTGTCTTCTTAAAAAGATCGTTACACACCATCTTTTGAAGATCCTTGTCGCGTTGGATAATTTGGTGAATCTCCTTCATCACCTCTCGCCGACACCCCAGGGTTGCCTGCCCGTCGTCAAGATAGTCGACGCGGCCGTCCATGTTCCTGGGCACACGCTCCGCAAAGTTCCGCTCATACATTTCAATATCGCGGTTTGTAACCCGCGTGTATGGATCTGCATTTTCTAGTTTGTTTCGCAGACTCTCGCAGAGTCTGTCGACTTTGTCGCTGCTGACAGGCAGCGGCAAGTTTGTGTTCATTTTGGTTACTGAGCAAATAGGGTGCTTACAGGAAGACCAGCCAGCCTGCGGGCTTCACCAACCGGGTCAACAACTAAACACTAGAGCTACTGCTTTCACTAGAAGACTATCAGACGCCGAAGCGAATGAAAACGGCCCCCCCCCCGGAGGGAAAGGCAAGTCAACTAGCTGCCACAAGCAAACTCTGAAGTGAGAAATTGTTTTCTTGGAAGGAATCCAAAGTAAATAAAAAAGATAAAACTCGCGCCGGAGTCTATCAAGGTCGTAAGCCTGAACAGGTAGGATTGATCGCCGCCAAAGAGATGATCGCGCAAACACGGTAGACTAAGGTTGCCGAAGCTCGATAGAGAAGAGGAAGAAAAGAGAGAAAGGAGAAAGTCGATGAAGTAGATATCTTATAGGTAGGTGATCAGACCAAGCTACCTGCCCAGGTAGCTAGACCAAGCTAGGTAGGCACGTAGGTACCTGCCCAAGTAGGTAGGTGGAGCCACAAGGTAAGTACCACAACCCACCTACCTCACCTCGATACATCTACAGACACCTAGGTACCTACAAATCTTCTGTCCTATGGCCTGGCAATGTTCTAGAGAGCCATGTTACGCGGAGAGCTTTCCTGAACTTGAGGTTCTACCTTGTCAGCGGGAGGAAATAAGGCTGTGACTCAGAGCGTAAGGTTTCGGCAACCTTGGTTTTACCAAGGCCATCCATCTGCTACAAAGACAGTTGGAACCTGGGGGGTTGCCTAGGTAGGCACTTGAAAGCTTGCTGCCTTGCGCCCAGCCAACCAACCGAGTGCTTTGGGAGCCGCAGTGGGAAGCTGTCACCATCGTGCCACTAAACTCGAATGGCTGCAGCCAAGGCTTAGGGCCTGATCTTCTCGTTGCCAGGCAGTAGTTGCTAATTGACAAGGGCACAAAGCCACTGACTCTTCCATTCGCCAAGGGTTTCTAGAATGCGAGAGAATGCATAGCAGAAAGCTAACAATACCCAGAGTCTATGCCTGTTCCAGCCTGTCTCAGTCAATGATCAAGAAATCTACTCGGCACAACTCTGGCTTAGAGAAGTAGTCGGCTAGATTTGGTTTCGCGTCTTGGAAAAGGGTTCGGAGCAGAAATCCGGTGGTTTTGTGCACTGTTGACATCAGCCTGGCAACAGGCAATTACTGACAGGCGATGAGAAGATCAGACCCTTAACGCAGTCGTCCCCTGGTCATCAGCAGCAACCCCTATGAAGATTGAAGAAACTCCCAGCCACCCAGTCGCTCTGCCCCGGGGGTTTCGATGGATGCCCCTCCCCCCTAAGTATCCAGCGTCCGACGCGCACGCGGACAGGATTCCGAGTTTTCCAATGGGTATGGTCGTATGTGGCAGCTGCAGCGCAAAAGGGTTATTATCAAGTCTTGCTTCGCAGTTGGACAGCACACGTGCCAAGCGTAACGAATCGTAGCTAACGGAGTCTCCACTTGGAATTTCAGAGAAAACTAGCTCATAGTCTTTGGTTCTGTTTGTGTTTATTTCAGATTTGCCGTTGTACGTAGTGGGTAGGCAGGCATCACCTCCTCTTTTGCCCCCCTCCCCATCTCACATCTCTTGATGTGAACACTCTTACAAGACGGTCGAGATGCTACAAGCTCAGGAACTCAACATCAATGTGAGTAGGATGGATGAAGAGGATAAGTTCGGACCGCCAAACTGTTTCTTTGAAATAAACCCAACAGTTGAGGCAGACCAAACCAGTTTGCAAGCCAACGTGTACGTCCGTATCAACCTAGCTGCGACTGCAACAGCAGCTACTGCGCTTTTCCTGGCTACAGCTTCAGCTTTAGTTGCAGCACACTCTACAACGCAGGACGGTATAACTACAAACTATTCCAAGTTTCCGTGCAATCAGGATATGAACATCAGCTCAGGTAGCACCTTTGGATCGTAAGTGTCGGCTCGACCTCCTACTTATGATAACGTAGGCAGCACGGGAATACCGCCTCAATGCTTGTTTGTGTAGCAACCACCGTTCACAGCTGTTTTTGCAAGAGATCGGATAGAAACATCTCAAGCACCGAGTATAGGCAATATTAACATTAATATCACACTATAGCTAGGCTTTGGCATTCACACCCCTCCACAGTTGTCAGGATACAAAATCCCCGTTGTGCTAGCGCCCTTTGCCAGTCTCCAATGAATGATCGTCACACTGCGTATTTGTCCTCCCGGTTCCCCATCTCTCCCACTCTACTCGTCCGTCTCAAGGTCTGGTTAGTCGATGCTCCCTCGGAAGCATCTTAATCCCCCGCACCAACGAAAAGGTCCAGACTCAGCAAGGGACCCTCCACGCAGTTTCGGGCCCGTACCATGCCCACCTGCAACAAGACAGAAGGCATATAGATACGAGCCCATCCCAAGCGCTTCACAGGGCGTGCCCAACTCTCGGCGTTGTGATGGGCTGACTTGGAAAAAATAAAATGAAGAAAATAAAAATTGGCGTCCCTCTCCCATTCTATCACTCCTCCTTCTCTAGCCCGTTCCTATCTCACGAAGAGACCGGGTCAGGCGAGCAAAGATGGCTCCTGCCTTCTCAAACCTGTCTCCTTATCTCGACGGAGAGACCAGGTCCAGGCGAGACGGGCGGAGCAGAGGACCGAACGGGAAAGAAAAAGAAAAAAGACACCGGTTGCTTCAGGCTCACGCGGCTCTGTCCAGCGAATTCACATCGTCCGCGGCCAGCCGCACCGGGGTATCGGTGGTTGTGCCGCACATTTGTTTGCCCCCGGCGCGTGGACTCTTCGGACGGATCATCGACGCTTCAGAGCTCGGCGGAGACTTCCAGCGGTTGTTGAAAAATGTTTCAGAAAGTGTGTCGACTCTCGACTGGTCTTCGGCAGATGTCCCTGCCATGAAACAGGAAAGTCGAACAAAAGTAGTTTGCTCAACGCTTCAGACCAAGGCTTCCCTAAGGGAGAGATGGTCTTGCCAGCGGAACAAAAGAGTAAGGCACTCCTGGCCCTGCTCTAACGTCGCAGCATGATTGTTGGGGTCTCAAAAGGATGAGTTCAGATCGTGGCTTGGCGATTGACAGTCATGGCGGCGGAACGGGGGAGGCCGGGTTGAGATGGTGACAAGGGAAAAACGCAGCATCCTTTGGATGAGTTTGGCTGAGAGGATTCGGCTACGCGGCGCATCCTGTAAACGAGAGTAGAATTGCGCTGAAGAGAAGAGGGAAAGAAGGATGCTGAGACGAAGGAAGGACGAAGATGTCTTTATAGACGAAGACGTCGGTCAGGGTAGAGAGAGTGGTGGAGGTGGAGTTGAAGTCGAGAAAAGGTTTGGGGACGGGATTAGGTGGAGGGCCAAGCCGCCGTTCGGTGAGATCTGCACTGTGAGTGACGCTCCACCGCCAACCAGGAGAGGCGCTAGTGGGAGTTGGCCCGCCTTATTCCGGGCCTCGGAGCAGCCTGCCTAGCAGCCTTGGTAGCTAGCTGGAGATGTTGGGACCCGTGGACTGTGTTAGGTACCCTGCAGTTTCTAGCTCGGCTGGTGGAAACGTCTCAACCTCCCCCCTCCTCCAAACACCCGCCACCACAACCTGTGACAATCTCACCCTCGCGTCGACCAACCAGGCCCACACCCCTTCAATGAAACCACGAACGACTCGCAAATCCTACCAACAAGAACCCAATGGCCTGATGTCTGAAACTTGAGATTGCAAATCACCGATCCGTTATCCGTACACGCCGCCAACCTGCCCGTTTATCTACTACCTACCTACCTCTGCCAGTGGTCACCCCCGCGCCCCCACTTGTTACCAAACGTCGTCATCCAATTGTTTATCCACGACGACGTGACGCCGGTATTGGATTTGACCTTCGCCTCAGCATTCCCGTCGTCTCGTCAACTTCCTCTCGTCGTCAGTGGGGCGACCGAGTGTCAGAGACGCATCTTCAACTCGTAGCCAATCCCATAAGCTTAATCAAATTCCTTGGCAGGCACATATCGTCCCCTCTTCCGACGACGACGGCGACGACGAGGCCGGTCCGCCAGTTAAACAGCGATCTTGCCTGTAGCGTAAGCTGAAAGCCTTTCATCCCAAGGAGCGTCTTCTCCGGAAGTCCTCATCGTGTGAGTCTGCACGCAGACTACGTCGGCTGGAAAGGCAGGCGGACATATTGCAGAATTAGTGTTTCGTTCCTACGAGCATCTCCGAAACAGCAAAGAACGCTGTATCCAAGATGGCCCCGACTATCATACAGTGGATCCTGGATACCCGGCAGTTGTGGCCCGAAGCCGCTGAAACGAAGCAGCTTGAGCAAGTTGTACGTAGTATTTCAATTCTCGCCCCGAGTCGCGCTTTGCTCCCTGCCCCTTTCGCGCGACGGTCGGTGCCTTTCAAACCTGCCCCAGCTGCGAGCGAACCCTCCAGAAAGAATGAACCCCGTTGCCAAACCGTACCCCTGAGGATTGAGAAACATACTGACACGAAAACACTACAAGGCATCCCGAGCCCTCGACCTTCTCAAGCCCGAAGAGCGCAAGGCAGTACTAAAGTATTACCATGTGCGCGACGCGAAGCTGTCCCTGGGCTCGCATCTCTTGAAACGTTACGCCATCAGCCGATTCTGCCACGTTCCCTGGCCTGAGGCTACTGCCATCCGCGACAAGCGCACCAAGCCTATCTTCCGCGCCGCTGACGGTACCTCCCCACTGAGCTTTAACGTGAGCCATCAGGCCGGCCTCGTCGCACTCTTCGCGATACATGGATATGACGCTGCGAACGGCCCAGTCGACGTTGGCGTGGATGTGGTATGCACGTCAGAGCGCCGCACAAGGGACCACCGCATATTGAGGAACGAGGGGTGGCCTAAATTCGTCGACATCCACGCTGATGTGCTCTCGCCCCTCGAGGCGAACTTCCTCAAGTGGCAAGCGCTCGCCGCCATCCCGCCGGGATTGAAGCCTGGGGCCTCGACGGAGGATGCGGCAGACTTCAAGCTGCGCTGCTTCTATGCGCTGTGGTGCTTGAGGGAAGCGTACGTCAAGATGACTGGAGATGCTCTTCTTGCGCCGTGGCTGGGAGAGTTGCAGTTCAAGAAATTCAGGCCGCCGGCTCCTGCAGAGAGTTTCGAGGCCGAGGGCGAGGCAGTTACGGATCACGAGATCGTGTTCAAGGGTACCAGGGTCGAGGATGCAAAGATATCCCTCAAGGCTTTGGGCCCAGATTACATGACTTGCTCTGCCGTCCGGACACCTCAGCGGAAAGAGGACGGATTGGCATTTGAACTCGGCCCGTATAAAATGTTGGACATAGACGAAGTGCTTACTTTTGGGGAGAGTCATCAAAGTTAGTTGCTCTCGCCTCATCATGCTAATCAACACAGACATTCAGCTTCACCATTTTACACGATGCTCTTTGAAGATACAATCCCATAACCTCACTGCTTCTTATGCTTCGCTATCGTGGCTGAGCCGAGCGATTCCCGTTGTCATGACGAGATACCAAAATATTTGGCAGTGTCAGAATCAATCATGGCAACGGCACAAATGAGTTGTACAAAAGGGTGCCGTGCTCCGCACTAAAGCCTACCAACCATCCATCTAGCATGAATGTGGATAATCAAAGGTGATTTTGAGTACAAGGACCACCGACGAATTGCAAAACATCCATTTCGCAGCTCACGGCACGTCCACAAGCGCCAAGTCGGGCCAATGCGAACTCAAGTCGAAGATGCCCTTTGACCGGATCCACAAAGGCGGGTCCTCTTCCTCGGGAATCTCTCCAAACGCGTCGACGGGGAACAGCCAAAACCCAAGCGCCGGGCGGGGCGCCGCGGCGAGGACCTTGGGCCCGTCAAGCTCTGGCAAACTAGGCCGCAGCCCGGATGCCGTTGCAAAGCATCCGGCCGGCCGGTCTCCCCCGCCCCCGGGCCGCGGGGAGTCCCACCCGCGGAACCACCACTGTAGCTGCAGCCAGCCGAAGTCTTCCTCGTGCAGCGCTCGCGCGGCATCTTCGCGGGTACGGATGTCCCCCTCCCGGTCCGAGGCGACCATCACGCGCACATCGACGCCTGGGGCTCCCTCGACGTCCTCGGGGCTTATGCCGAGCCTGCGCAGAAGCATCCTCCACCCGAGGGGCATTTCGCGCCAGTCGGGCACGCTGCCGCCGACGTTGCGCAGGTCGCGGGAGACGTCCCGCGAGTCCGGACGCGGGGGCTCGAAGAATGTGAAAGCCGGGAACACGGGAAAGCCGTAATTGAAGATGTTGGCGCGTATCCAAGTCAGCACGTCGAGGCCGCGGCCGCCGGGGGGCGTGTTCTTGAACCAGATGGTCTTCAGCGCCGCGAGCGTGGCTTTGAACGCCGCAAGGGCGCGCGCGTCGAGGGAAGCGGGCGACAGCGACGGCATCTCGGCGATGCGGAAGTGGTTGTCTTCCACGACCAGGTGCCGGAGGCCGTGACCTCCTGGGTCGTAGGCGCGAAGGTCGTGAAGGAAGTCGAAGAAGAGGGACAAGGCATTGTCGGCCGAGATCCTCAGGTAATCCCAGTCCAAATTCAGGCGCAGCATGGGGCTTTTGCCCTCCATATCGACGCAGGATTTAAGGTAGCACGGGATATGCACCGGGTAGAATGCGAGAACGACCGCTTGCGCCTCCTTGTTCACCATCATGATATTGTCAGGAAGCAAAACATGCCGGTTTGGAGTAACCACTTTGTAGTGGTTCCCGCTGACGGGCCGACCCAGACCATTTAGTAAAGAGTATCGTTCAGCAATATTGGTCTCGTTGCTCGCCCCCGTTTCTACTCGTTTCTCGAGAACAATGTGTATCATACGATGACGCTGGAGGGAATACTGCCAGATGAGAACGCGGAGCTCCGTCGGCAGCTGCGCGAATAAGCTGAAGCTTCGGTGGCCAGCATTTGGATAGGTCGGGTTGAACAGCTCGAGATGCGGTCGTCTGGGCGTCATCGTCACGGGTGCGACATCTGCGGCCGTGGTGTCTGTTTGTGAAAGTTGCCAACGTGGCAAGCAGGACGCGCACGAGATGTCGAGAGCAGCGTTCGCAGATCACTGCCCTTCCTCACGTCAGACCGGAATCCGTGAGGAGTCGGCGTGGCGTTCAGCCATGTCTCACTTCCATCAAGGTGCAGCTGTAGCCACTTCGCATGTGACACCGTGGCCTTTCCCTCAATCGGGTAATCCGGTCAAGGCTGTCAGAGATAATCACGGACTCGGTTTTCCTCAACGGTGTTCTCATGTATGGAAATGACCTTGGTTTCTGGGGGAGTAAGGTTTCTCGCTGCGGGTCGAAGTGGTAATTGTCACAACATGTCTTCATCATCTTCACATCAACCGGCCCTTGTCAGCGACGGGCCCAGTTCAAGATCATGCATAGACGGGCCAGCTGTTTTTCGAGGTGCGATCCGAAAATCGGAGCACATCATGTCCTAGCAATTCCTAGAGCTTCCGATACTTAAACGTGCTACACGCAGAAGGAAGTGAATAGCATCATTCTCTCGTAGATATAGGATCGAAGTCCTCAGCTACACTTTCAACCCCTGATCCTTGAGCCTTTTCCAAATCTTCTCGCCCTCGTCAGCAAGCTTAGGTATTATTGCCCCCTTCCCACTCGGCGGGTCGGCATCATACAAGGGAACGACTCTCGTCGCGCCCTTTGTGACCTCCAAGATGGTCCCATTGCCGTACTCCGGGTTCTCGCAGAGCTCCAGCATGCCTCTCGCAACCTCCTCGGGCTCGATGAACAGATCTCCGCCCTCACCCTGCGCCAGGTGCTTCTTACCAGGATCCTCCAGCCATAGAGGCGTCTATCGCCGCGCGTCAGCAATCTCTCTTGCTGGTAGAAGCGTCAAATAAAACTTGCCATGACCGCCCCCGGCGCAACGGCACTGCACCGGATTCCCATTCGGTCTCGCATATCGCCGAGGCACCGCACGAACCCGTGCAGGCCATGCTTGCTTGTGATGTACAGCGGCGTCCCGATCCCACATGCGTGGCCCGCGATGCTGCTGACATGCACCAGGCAGCCGTTCCGGCTCTGCTGCGTCCAGTAACCGATCGCGAGCTGGCTCAGCCGGATCGGATGCGTCAGATTCACATCCAGCACGGCATAGGTACCAGGTTCTGCGTCCGCGCTGTCGCGGGACTCGGTCTGCGCATTCGACTCGGTCCTTGGTGGCTGCCAGAACGAGCTCCATGCGGGCTCGAAGATCCCGGCTCCTGGGACGACGATGTCGACCTGAGGGAAGGAGGCCAGGGCCTTAGCCCAGAGCCTCGTGAGCTGTGGCCAGGAGGCCACGTTGGTAGATTGGAACAGGGCCGAGGGCCGGTCCGGCTGCTGTGAATGAGGGTACTGGGTCAAGAGGGAGGATGCGCCGGGACGGAGAGAGAGGTCGCCCATCATGACGGAGCAGCCGCGCTCGAGGAGCAATTTGGCGAAGGCAAGGTTGATGCCTACGAGTTGTGAGTGAGACGTACGTAGTGAAAGGGTGCCGAAAGGGCATACCTGATCCCGCACCAGTGATCAAGGCGTATTTGCCAGCTACGGAAAGAGTCATGACTTCACAAATCTACAGTATTAGTGTTGCAGTAAGACGATTCAGCGGATAAAACAGATCCGTTACGACTGTCGGACAGTGGAGTCATTAAATACTTCGGGCAGGTGAAAATATTGTCTTAGACAGACATCGGTCTCTGCCTTATCCCTTTATGGGTGTGTTTATCCGATGATACCTTGAGACCTACAGTACTGGCTCAAAAGTCTTGTTACAGCAATAAGGATAACCCAAAGAAGAGTCGAAGAGAGGACCCATTAATAGCTCGAGGTCACTTCACAGTGCGTCACCAAAGACCCTATGTCCTAACCACCTACTGTAGCTTTTTATTGGCTGTCTTTATTGCTGTAACAAGACTTTTGAGCTGGTACTGTAGACCCGAAAAGGTCGTTGTTGACATGCAGTGTAATTTGGATTGGATGGCTTGTATGGGGGGCTGTCGATCACAAGACCCCGCCTGCTCTAGGCAGTCTCTCAAAACAGTACATCTCTTTATACGTCTCTTTATGCTTCTGGCGGTGATCTGTTAGTCTATGTGATGTGATTAGGTAGAGGTGAACTATACACTATAGTGATGCGAGCAGGATTTTTCATCGTCACCGACCAAACTACTACTATAAGCACGTCAAACGGCAGTCTACAGCACATACGACCATACCCACTGGAGAACTCGGGATCCCGTCCGCTCTCCCATAGATAAGCCAGTGAGGGCCGGATTAGTAGTTGAGTCGGTGACGATCAGCGAATACCTGGTGTTGTATGTTTTTTTGCTTTTGTTCCCTTAGCTAAGGGGCGACATAATCTCCACAACACCTACAAATCGTCACATACGACCATACCCATTGGAAAACTCGGGATCCCGTCCGCTCTCCCATAGATAAGCCAGTGAGGGCCGGATCAGTAGTTGAGTCGGTGACGATCAGCGAATACCTGGTGTTGTATGTTCTTTTTGTTGGGAGGGGCCGAAGGGACTTTTGAGGTCAATTCACCGTCTAAATCTAGACTAGGTACGGAGTAATGACAGCCAAAGAGTGGGAGACGCCCATGGCAAATTGTTACGCTTTCATGTTGCTAAACCAAGGAGTATAGATGCAAGTTGCACTTTGTCGGAAAGGACTATGGGAATGGCTATTATGTTGTCTAAATCGGTTGTAAGCAAGAAACACTGCGCTTATGCTGTCTTGACACCTTGTTCCTCATCGACGACTTGTCCGATCGCATCATTCGAAGTCACAACGCCCTCTTTGCGGCAATCATTCTCATCATCTTCCGGCTTGCCTTCTCTGGTGGCCCATCCATCGACGTACCGCAACGTCTGCCGGCTCCAAATCCTGTTCATGAAGAACAGCCGCACCGGCACCAAGATGATGATGATGATAGGAAACCCAGGAGCAGCCACGGTCAAGGTGACGCCAAACACAATGCCTGTGAGAACTATCTGTGTAATGGTGAAAAAATGAATCCCAGCCCAGCTAGCGCCTTGAGGCAGAGCAGGGAGTTCCGAAATTGGTGTGAGGAGGTGCCAGACCCTGGCGAGAATCGGATTCACTCTTAGCGACTGGTAGCCCATGAACATGAACAAGCCCGCGAGGACCGATGTCGGTGTGAAGCCCAAAACATGTTGGAACGGAGGCGAGACGAACAGCAAAATCCCCGCCGCCTGGATGAAGGGCGAGTACCGCTGCTCGTACACCCGCAAGACGGGTTTCACGGGAGGGTCGTCGCAGGGTTCGGAATCCGTGGCCTGGGGATCCTCATAGACCGTGTACATTAGAGACTCGGAGTGAAGCGGCGCCTGCGGCAGCAGCCCGTTGGCTGGCGGAATTCCAAGGATGCCGCACATAATGGTTGTCGTGCCCAGAAGCATGACATCCCACGCATAGCCCCCGGGTTTCTGGACTCCGTACCTCTTGGCCGTGCAGATGATGCTGCTAATCTCGTGGTCAAAGTAAAAAAGGACGGTGATGATGATGCCCGGGATGATTGAAATGAATACCCACTCTATGGGGAGCTTCCAGAACTCAACAAAGAAATGATCCCGGCTCGGCAACGAGGGCCTGAACGTCTTGGAGACCTCGAGGCGATAGTGGGAGAGTTCGGCCAGGTCACCGACGTACGGCATGCCAATGAAAAAGACAATGGAGATGGCGGCGGCGTACTCGGTCAAGGCCATGCGGACGTATCTGTGGAACAACGGCTTCCACGAGACGGCTGTGGAGAGGAAGATGGCAAGCAGGCAGGTTCCCACAGCGCCGATGATAGAGTACAGGAAGGCGGCCATCGAGACGACGGCCTTTGTACGTTGGATCTCGAGGACGGCCTTGTGGAAGTAGATGATGCTATTAAGGAGGGAGAAAATGTCGGCGCTGAAGTCTGTGACGTATTGCATGGTGTAGTCGTGCGCGTTGAAGATGGCCAGGAGGTAATGCATCCAGCCGGAGTGAATGAGCGACCACGCCATGAAGGGCAGGAAGGGAATCTGGAGCAGTCAGCGAGATATCGTATCACGGTGTAAGTGCGGCATACCTTGAACGATTCCTCGCACAGAGAATAGATATTCTCTGCCAGTACTGAGAATGGTCCGGTTACACCAAGGATCGTTAATGGCTGAGCCGAAAACCTGGGAAGGCGTGTTAGTCGAATTCCATACGACTGAATTAAACCCCATAAAACCCCCTTCGGAGTCTCCGAGCATCAACTCACAAGGCAAAGATAATTCCGCAAAGCCCCGTACTGAAAACAACCTCGATCGTGCCCCACGACTGCCCCGTCAAAACGTACAAGTCGCTGGCGAAGGTGATACCAGGCAAGATGTTGGTGAACAAGACGTATATGGCGCTCGCAATCACAAGCTGGTTGAACACAGTCCAGTCCGAGATGTACCGCAGCTTGAAATTCCCAAAGTCCTCCTTGAGCAACCGGAACGGCCTCAACTTGCCACCTCTGCGAAAGTAACCCCGCCACCTGCCACTGCGTCGTCGTTCCGGGCCCGCGTCACTGATGGATACATCCTCACGATCCCCTCGCTTCTCAGAAGACGGCTGTCTTAGACGATGGCTGCTCTGAACATGCGACTCGTGGGCCTGTGAGATGACATCACCCTGAGACCAAGCCGACATTACCTCATGGGATTCACTGTCGTTGGATAGCCCCTCGGCCGCGAAGGTTGAGGTCATTCGAAGGTCTGCCCCGCTCGAACGCAGTATGACAGCAAATAAATATATATGGAACAATGCTAAGTAAAAGACAGGCGCGGCGATTTGTCGTTAACTAGATACACACAACGAAAGCGAAGGAACGACGCCCATGGCGGCGCCAAGAGAGCATTATATCGGATGTCATGAAGGGGGGTGTCCACGGGTCTCTTCCGAAAAACTCTTTGTTAGGTACACTAGACAAATCGGCCTAACGCGCAGCCAGATTGGGTTTTTCGTCCCAACCATCTGTACCCTGGCCCGACAGCCACGGCACCAGCTTTCCGGTCGATGTCAAATTGCACAAGAATAATATCTGAGCGGTTTCAAGGTTTTCGACAAATTGGATTGCCGAAGTCGCCACGTGCTCTCATTGGCTGTCTTGGCGCAGGTGCTAGTCCACCGGGCTGGGTATAGCTCGTTGACCCGAGAGGCTCGGCATCTGACGTCATGGCCGCCAACGAGACAGATGCATGCCCCTCCAAGTCGGACCAATCACAGTATGCGCAGTAGCAAGGCTGTGAGACGCCAACGCCAGGCTGATGAAATTTCGATGACTGCAACTCTCCAACAAACACCCGGTTCATCAGCACTGGTTCCGAGTGCGCATCAATCACCCGCACAACAATGAATAATTAACCGATATAGATCAAACCTATCATAGGGCGCTCGAACAAATCCTTCCGTGGGAACCCCTCCTCAATCCCTCCCAACCCCCCTCCCCCCACTTAAACGATGTTCCCGACTTCCGCGCGCCGGGCCTTCGCGCCCCGCCTCCAGTTCGCCGTCTCCGACTCGATCCCTCGCTCCTACTATCTCGGTCACCATCACGCCGCGCTGCGCGAGATCTCCTCGCGTCTCTCGGATGTCGGACTGGTCCTCGAGTGCCGCGACTACCGCGTACCCCTTACGAGCTGGAACCCCGTCCTCGACCGCGCTGTCGCCGGCCGCGAGCGCATCGTCGTCTACACTCACTGCGACCTCGGTGCCGATAGCCCCGCCGCCGTCGAGCACGCCCTGCGCCGCTTCCATCGAGGCCACTCTGCCGTCAGCAGCACTCCGCAGCGCGTCGTGTTTTGGCGGAAAGACGACCCGGCGAGCACGAAACAGCTCCTTTCGGAAATCAGAAGCGTCGCGCACTCCGTCGACAGCCTGACGGGCATGCGCGCGCTGGTCGTCGGCATGCCCAACGTGGGAAAGAGCACATTGCTGAACAAGCTTCGTGTGCATGGGATGCACAAAAAGCCAAACGTCGCAAAGGTCGGCGCGCAGCCGGGCGTGACGCGCAAGCTGGGGTCGCCGGTGCGCATCCTCGACTCCGAGGGAGACGGCGGTTTGGGGCTTGGCGAGGGCGTCTTCGTTCTCGACACGCCCGGTGTCTTCATGCCCTATGTGTCTGAAGCCGAGGACATGGTGAAGCTTGCGCTCGTGGGCTCCGTCAAGGACGACCGCATCCCAATGGAGATCCTTGCCGACTACCTCCTGTATCGTCTCAACCTTACCGACCCTGGCGCCTACGCCAAATATTCTGAACCAACCAACGAGGTTAACGATCTGCTGCTTGGGGTTGCACGCAGGACGGGAAAGCTCAAGGCAGGCGGAGAGGCGAATGCTGACAGCGCAGCAGACTGGATCATTAAACAATGGAGGGCGGGGAACCTGGGCAAGTTCGTGCTCGATGATATTAGCGATGAGGCATTCAAGACAAAAGACCTCGCGAGGGAAGGCCAAGGCCCTCTCAGCATGAACCAAGCGCGAAGGAAAGAGAAGGAGGCAAGAAAAGAAAGAGCTCTTAACAAGAGCAAGGCGATTTAGGACACCAAAGGACTGGCTGTCCGTGTTAGAACTATAGAGAGATACCCCGCACTATGTATCATACATGTAAAATAAAAAATTGTTTTCGCGAGAAAGCATTTTTGTACACCAGATGCCTTAGATAAACAAAGTAAAGTCTGCCATGCTGGCTGAAGACAAGGCTCAACTCCAACTTGACGTGGTGGTCCCGCCGCCATGGAAAATCGCCGGCAACACTGAAAATCGCAAGTGTTCGGGTATCCGAAATTTTCTCCTCGACCCTGGCATTACCAACTGACAGTAGAACTGTAAACCTATTGCACACAGGGGAGCTTCTGACAACCCGTGTTGTTCTCTTCAATAGGATTTCTCCGATACATTTTCAACACCTCAACAAAGCCGTGAACGCCAATAAACTTCAATCCGTAGGGGGCCGTCGGATGCCACCGTCGGCAGGCCTTGATATCATACTCCGAAGCGAAACAGACCTTTGGCCTTGAACGAGCGACGACTCGCTTATATAAACGCCGAGGAAACAACAAACAGAACTTTGGCTCAGGATGCATACTGATTCTGCCACCTCAACAGATCCCGAGTGAGGACATCCATCATCTCTACGCAGTTAAGCGCCTTGAACTCTTTAGTCTCGGATCTGTTCTCGTCTGCCGTGTTGGTGATGGGGGAATTCTGCAACTCCGCTTTGTCGTTGCCGTTGATGTTGATTTTGGGTCCATCCGACGCAGCCTTTACGCGGGGGCTTTGCTGTTGAGAGCTGTTTTGGCTGCTTCTTGACCCCGGAAGTGCCTCAGCCGCCAACTCAACCTGTGTCTTGGATATAAAGTCGAGGAACGCCGAAACTCTGCGCTTCATGTCGTTCATCGACACTTTGCTGTGGGTGCTGTTTGCCTTGCTCCTTGCACTGTGCTTAGGGTTATCCGTATGGGAGTGTTTTGTTATGCCGGCGCCAGTGTGATCATCATGATTCCTCCCAATATCTCTTGACATCGATCGAGCTGGAGTGTCTTCGTTGTCGTCGCGGTCCTTAGTGTACTGATTCCTGCCTTTGCCTCTTTTCTGGTTGTTGCGACTGGTCTTCTTGTGCGAGCTGCCAACTGGCGCCTGGTTCGCTGGCGGCGTGTCTGGGGTCGGCGCAGAGGATGGGGGTGCTTCGACAGGCGCTAGTGGGGGCGCCGCCGCCTCCGTACTGGGCTTGACAGCAAGGCGAGGTGGTGCGGGAGGGACCTCTTCCGACGGATCTGATTCTGCGCCCACATGAGCTTCAGGTTCCTTGCCCGGATTCGCGGGGGTTGTACCCTCAGCTCGTCTCCGGTCTGCACGACCCTTTCGTCGATTTGCCGCCTCTGCCCGTTGCCTGTCGCGCTCTTCGCGCTCCGACTTTTCACGTTGAGTCCGGGCACCACGAGGCTTCTTTGATTGGCCATTCCGTGCGCTGTTTTCCTCGTCTGTGTCATCTTCAATGGCCTCGGTCTTCTCAGGAGGCGGCGACATTGATGGGGAGCTTGTCCGTTGTCTCTTCAAACTCGTTGAATTCCTAGACTTGTAAGCGAATGGTTTTTCAGAACCCGGTCGAGCACAATCAAGCACTCACTCCTCGCTACCGCTGCGACCTCGCTTCGCTCGTCTTGTCCCAGGCTCTGTTTGATCCAGAGCGGTTTCTTCTTTGCTAGCTTCAATGGCCCGTCGCAGCTGCTCATCCTCATCGTATGCAGCGTCCCGGCTGTTCATTGTCGACCTTCTTTTCGAGGCTTGGGTCGCAGACGAAGCACGTCCATTCTTGCTTGTTTCCTTGGGCGACCGGGTGCCATCCTTGACTAGCGAGGCAGCCCGAGACGTGGCGCGCGAGGGGCGGTTGAGTGGAAGGTAGTTGGAATATCGTTGCCTACGAAGGAGAATATTAGCAATCGAGAGCGATGGAGGAAGAAGCGGCTCCTGAGACACGGTGCATCCCATCCTCCAGTAGCCGGGGATCAATGGCAGTGGACAGCAAAGTATCGAAAAAGGGAAGTAGAGATCGCTTACCCATTGATGGCCGCATGGATCTTGTGCAAATCCTTGCGACATTTCTCACAAAAGTATTCGTCAGGGGAACTTTCTTCAGTGAAGATACCAACGCAAGCACCATGCTGCCAGACTTTGCAGACGTCGCACTGGACAAAAAGACCAGAGACCTCATCTGACAACTCGATACTGGCGAAGAAGTCTGCCTCTGGATTGTGCTTCCCGTGCTTAGAATCCCCCTCAAAAGGCGGAGGCCCCGGGTATTCGTCGAAGCCACAGACACATCGCACAGACTCGTCGTCCTCCTGTACGTCGTCGCTGGCGGTAGCCATATCGTAGGGGTCGGCACGAGCCTTGTCGCGGGCGTCCTCTTGAGCACGAGTTCGGCGTCGCGAAGGGAGGGCGTCGTCAAGGTCTTCGGGCGGTTCTGAAGAGAGCGAAGCGCTTGGGGTAGATTTGGCGGAAGAGGTCTTGTTGAGGGATCTGGTGGTCCTTTCGCCCCGACTCGAGAGACTCGACGTTGTTGAAGATTGCTGTGACTGAGAGACTGTGTTGCCTCGGGCTCGTGAAGAACGCCGAGGAGAGGGGGGTGCCATTGAGGCAGCGCAGCAGTAGGGCGAAGAGAAGTGGGCGACGAGGAGGGATTCGGAAGCGGGAGGAGGAAGGGCCGGCGGAGACGTGCGATTGGCGCAGTAGGATGGCTTGTTGTCGTGATGTCGGAGGTGGGAGGTAGAGGGGTGCGATTGAGATGTCGGGGCGAGGAGAGGAGGAGTGAAGTAACGAGAGTGGTCAGTGAGCGGGTGTTGTTGTGGTTCTGCTTTTGGTGGGAAGGCGGGCGAGCGAGAGTATGGGAAGAAACGGGTGCGACTCGCACGTCAGGCTAATGGGAAGAGAGGACTCGGGTACTCCAACAAGTGTTCTGAGCAGATCGAACAGTTCGCATGTCTGATAATCGAAGATAAGGTACGATCATGTCGGGACAGAACAGAGAGAGTGTGTGTGAGGGAAAAGAGAGCGAGAGGAGCCGGAGTGCGGAGGTGGGAAAAGGTCAGAGAAAGTGAATGCGCACTGGAGACTGGCATCGGGTGAAGGAGATAGTAGGCGACGGACTGGACCAGCACCGCACACACTTTGGGCCTGGAAAGTGTGGTGCAGTGCGCCGCTTTCTCTTGCTCAGGCGTGCAGTGCCATTGGCAGTGCCAGGGAGCTGTTGCTCAGGTGCCCTTCGAGTACCACACCCCGGGCAGGCAGACAGACAGAAAGAAGCTCTGCGGGGCTAGGACACTGTCAATGTCAATTGTGCTGCATAACCCCTGCACAAAGGGCCTGGGAGATGGATGGGATTTGTGCTCGGTGCTGTCGGAAAAACCTGGCAATGACAGTCTGGGTATCGGCGACTCTGGGTGTCTTGCCCACAGATTACACTCTGAAAGGCAGAAAAATGGAGTATTCGATACAAGCGAGCAGGGATTTTCTTCCGACTCGTCTTCCAGCACAGCAACGACCCCTCGCCTGAAGGGGGCCGGAATACCTACAGGGTGGCAGGGCCAAGTTAATTACCCCTATGATATTACCCCCCACAGCTGATATCATAATAGAGGGTGAATATTCACCAAAAGTGAAGTCCTGTAGTAGGGGGGTGAACATTAGTTACCTAACAGGGATAATTAACTTCGGCCTGGTACCATCGTACCTTACGGTCCATGCCCGCCTGTCCCGCGCCGAACGGTTCTCATCTGCTGTCAAAGCCAATATTTTAATCGCATTTCACACAACATGCTGTGCGTTGTCTGCATGCGCTCTGACCAGTGTCTCTCTCACCTTATTCCTTGCCTCCTCAACCTCTTAGTGCAATCTCGTTCACCGGGCCACGTTCACCACTCCCCCAACCCCCCGGCGGTCCATCCACAGCGGAGCCCTGGCTTGCTGACATAATACGTTTCGAGTGGCCCTGGTTGACCTACGTCTCGTAATCACACACTAGACATTATCAAATGCTGTCATTAGCAATCGAAGCTGGGTAATTCGATTTGTACGTTGGCTTTTCCACAATCCTCAATACTCGCAGAGCTCGACTTCGCCTTTGCTGCCGCCCTCTGCATTCGACTCCGTCTTTCCCCCCCCCCCCCCCCCTTCTCGCTTGCACTATTTGTTCTTTGGAGCTCTTGTGCGCACCAAAGGCGAACGCGGAGCAGACCCAGCCCAATCCTGGTGGACCGAGTTGGTATGCCCGCTCCCCTCTTCTGTCGACGAAGCGAGATCCGCCCGTACTGTCTGTACCTGGGACTTGGAAGTGCAGCACACCCCTTGGCTCTTTTGAGTGGAAGGGGAAGCTGCTCTGCTGGTCCGGACCTTGCTGAATGTGCATGATGTGCTTGTCTGGCTGGGCGTTGGCCAGCTTTCTGTTGCGGACACATGCTGATGGTTGGGCATACTCAGGAATCAAGGGTTACGAGCTCCCCCCCCCTCCCCGTCTAATACGGACCCTCCACTCGAATCTCCTAGCCCGCCAACCACCACCCTCGAGAACCTGTTGCTATATTTCAGGAAGAAAATCAACCCTGCCACTGCTTGCAACCTCGAGCTTCATTACGTGAATCGTCTCCCCCGCGGTCGTGTGCCTTGGATGGCTCGTAGCATGAGGAGTTATGGGTATGCCTCGCTCTTCTCCATCTCTAACCTCCGCCACACCCTTGCAACGTCCATCCTCTGAACCACTGCTTTCACGAAACGGTGTTACTGCTGTCCTCCGCAGCCTGTCAGGCGCCTACTCATGTGCGCATGAGACGCCGGAGTTGACTGTGGCAGCCGACTGCATAGGCCATGCGCCTTTGAAGCTCACCGGCCTAAGGCTCCATCACTCGGCCAAGAAGCTTGCTAACCTCGATGCCTCTTACTCGGAAGCAGGTCATAATCGAACAATGTCTCCCGAAAGCGTTTCGTCCTTGTTCCCGCAGAGGCCGATTCGTCCTCTGCCGAAACGTCGCTTGCGGGAACGCCTTTCCCCCGAAGTCGCTGATTCCATCGAGTACCCTCCGGCGAACCAGAATACTAGTCCTCTGTTTTACTACCCAAATATTGTACGAGATGAACTGCCCACAAGGACAGGAGGCCAGAACGGTACGAGTCGAGGTGGCGTTGGTTACGAGAACATTCCACGAGGTAGCGGAGTAGCCGGAGAGAGTGACGAGGAGGAACTGGCCCTCAGCAACAGCAAGGTCGTTCGTCGTTCACATCCGGAAATCTTGAATCGCGCCTCGACAATGCCACCGAAGCCGGAATACTCTAGACATCCGAACCCGCAACCACCGCCCTCGACAACATCTTCCGCGGATGGGTATGAGTCTTTCGAGAACACCAACAACAAAAAGAAGCGAAAGATTCCGACTGCTGGAGATTCGGTGCTATCCGGTGTACACTCACTCGGTGAAATCAATTCGATAGGTGTGTCAACGGCAACGTCTCCGTCAAACGACAACGGCGACCTCGCTGTATCAGCATTGTCGTCATACTATGGGGCTGGAAGCTTTGTTGCAAACAACCAAGGCATCTCAGGGCCAGGAAGGGGCAGATTTGGAAGGTCCAGGAATGGAAGAAGCCCTCTAAGAGCTTTATCCGACGCAACAAGTAACTGGGTTGGAAGGGGAGCCAAGGTCCGGCAGCCTCAATGGGCAATGTCAGGTGAGTCAACCTTTTTCATCCAACGGCTTCTATTGCGTCCTTCATCCGCGAGGGGCAGATTGGAATCAATGGAGCCTCGCGGTTACCTGCCTGTAAGGAGATTAAACCTTGGAGGCCGCGCCTGATCGCAGGCCAAGTTGTTCCTTCCCTCTTTCACTTTTAGCCCATACCGCCGTACCTCCCTCCTTTCCCTCCACCAGCCTTCTCTTACTTTCTTTCACAACAGTCAGACGTCGTCAATACCAAAAATGTGCTGCTAACTGCTGCTCTCTGACAGGCGAGAATCACGGAATTATTTCTAGTGCCATCGCCAACGCCGAAAAGGCCCCCTCAACACCGGGTCAGGAGAATGTGAGCCTCCTGCATCAGCATTCCTCCAGTGTCAAATCCAGCCCCACTGCCACGCAATTCACCTTCACCTGCGACTCCCCGGTGCCCAAGCCTCAGTGGCCAGGGACTGATCCTGCTGGTTTTCAACCTGGATACGGCCCCGGCGGCAAAGCCAAACACAGTTCAATGGCGACTCAGAATCCGCCGGACATGACCAGCGCCCACGCTGGTCAAACTACAGCGCCAACTGGCAAAGCAAATGCTCAGCCTGGCGGGTCAAAGAAGAATCGTCGTCGTCGAGCTGAGAAGGAACTTCGAGTGGCAGCCAAACAGCGCCGTCAGGAAGCCGAGTACAAATACTACAACAATCCGCCCAAACTTGAAGACATGTGGATCTGCGAGTTCTGCGAATACGAGCGCATTTTTGGCGAGCCTCCCCACGCCTTAATTCGACAGTACGAGATCAAGGATCAGAAGGCCCGTCGCAAGGAGATGGAAAGGAAGCGCCTGCTGGAAAAGGCCAAGGCTAAGAGCCGGAAGGGTAAGAAGCCGGCCAAGTCGCCCGGAAAGACAGCGTTACCTCAGAACCTATCCCAGGAACAAGGTGGCAACGCGCCCATGGCTGCCGCAGCGAGTAGTTCAACTCATGACGACGATTATGCCGACGACTATGCACATGACGATGAAGATTTTGAGGACTCCTATTCTCAAGAAGATCCGCCGATGCTTTTAAGCGATGATCCTGATGGTGATCAGGAGCACGACTGCACATGTCCAACATGCGGCGACTGTGGAGGACGCGAGAAAGACGTTGACGATCCTGGCGATATCGCTCAGTAAGAGGCTACCTGTTGAAGGCTTTGGCTGGATTTGGAAATGTTGTCTGGATGCCGCTCTGTTTCTTCTTGGTCTATCCAACACAGCTCCTCCCTCGGCGACACCTTCAACCCTGATTCGATAGTAAGTGGTTGAAAGGATCACGAATCGAAGGACGATCTTGGAAAGGCGCCAGTTGTGCAAAACATCGATCGCTCTGGAGTGTTACCGCCAACAGCAACCCCGGCCTGGGCACCTCCTCGTCATCTCCCTCCTCTTTCCCTGCGGCATTTGCTGTCACACAATCAACATCACTATTGATCACAACCGTGCATTTTGAGGAAGTCAACAAAGAGCCAGCAGTCTTCAGCATAATTGATAACACTGGAGTATGGACCAATACACGTTCGTACTCCGAGTATTAATTAGATATTGAGCGCCGAAGTATTGCATATCTTGTTGTATGGAAAGAACACGTGGAGAAGGATGGGAATAGGCAGTCAAAGAGGAGAGCAAAATCCTTGAGATGCGTCTAGACATGAGGCTTAGTTGAGCTCCTAGCAAGACCTTGTTTTATTGGGGGAAGGTTTCTACAGCGGTACATAACTAGCTCAGGCCACCATAGCTACTTGCTCGCGGAATCATGACATTCACATTAGCCACACTTGTGTGAGTAACTTTTGCCGTATTAGCGCCATGAGCGAGCGGCTTGCCCGTGCGTGCTCATCAGATATGACGTCACGAATCTACACTGACTAGTGGTGGGCTACTTAGTGTAGGCCTTCGTCACGACGCATTGTCTTATTAAACGGTTCTTTTGATGGATCATGTTTCCATCAGGCCTCAGAGTCTTTTAGGTTAATCCTCAGCATGCCAGAGGCAGAAGAGAATAGATCACATGGTCTCGGATCGTGCTGTGGTAAGCGTGTCGCCAGCTTCTGCCATGCATTCTAAGCTGCCACGAGGGGCTGGCAATCCACTAATATGGCGTTTTTTCCCTTCTCTCCATCAGGCCGGATGCAAATTAGTATATCTGAGAATAGCTTGTCCGACACGAGAAGGCCGCAGCGCAGAGCCGGGGGCAACACCAACACAGTCACTAGCCACGCTACCCGCGTGGAGATGTTGACCTTCCGGAATTTGAGGACCCGATACACAGCTGGCCCAGGCAAGAGTTGATCTGCCCCGTCCTTTGTGGTCGGTTGGTACAATCGGTATGGCATGCATGGGCCTTGAAAGCCCTTTCGCGGGATGGAGTTATGGTGACGTTGAGGACGGTGGATGGGATCGGAATGGCATCCCGGAGGATCCCATCCTGAAGCCGGCGGAGTTTTTGATCTCGCAGATTTCTCAGCACTGTTTCGCCGCTAGGAAGAGCACAATAGGGATAAAGGTCAAGATATTGGCCTCATGACCCACCAGCGGCGTCCCGCCAAACTCGCCCGCCCGTGGGGAAGGAAGAATCTCCGAGCAACGATGGCTGTGTGGAAATTCGACCAGGGCCTAGATGAGGAGGGAAGGGACAGGAAAGCTTCGCTGACAGTCAGGCCTGAAACAACCCTGTCCTGTCCGTCGGCCCCCATGGTTCTGTGAGACGTCGATCCAAGTCTCCACAGGAGGTTCGGCAGTCAGAACACTGATGCGCACCGGCAGGCGGTACGTCCATGCACACCACACTACTACGCAGTATGTGTATACCTACTTCCTACCGGAGGACTTAATTACGTAGTCCATCAGTTAGCTACCTACCTACCTACCTACCTCGGCACTCCTACAGTGGAGCGGGCCGGAAGGACTAATGGATTGGTTCATCGGTCGGTTTGCTCACTAAAGCAACTAAACTACCTAGATAGATAACCAAATACCATTCAATGTTTCCCCATGCCCTCAAAGCCAGACAAAGACACAGCGGATGGAACAATAGGACAGGCACACGTCACGGGTCGATATGTAGTCCCATTCCACAAAAGTTCCTTACCTACACTACACGGTCGAGAAATAGACAGGTCGGAGACCTTGTGCGACGACCATTCTCGATACGTGCAGAGACACCTTAGGCCGATTTTTGACTTGTTTGGGCCGGCCAATGCCTGCGATACATAGGGTGCCATGTCATCGAAGTTGTCACAATTGCGCAGTGGCCCAGCCAGCAACGAGCTGCAATGGCTAACGAGGACATGATTAGCCGCAGGGCCCGTCGGATTGGCACCTCCCTTTTTGCGAGACACTGGGTCAAACCCGGCTTGGTAACATCCAAAAACGGAATGGCGGCAGAGCCGAAACAAGGGTGACTCCAGTTCTAGTCCAGCAAAGGAGAGTCGAGCCAACAGCGGTAAGGTGCATTAGGCAGGCGCGCAAGCCTGCTGGGCTGCAGTCAGTGATGGAATGGGTCCCAAAGTCGCAAGGTCCAAAGACGGAAAGACTTGGGAAATGAAAGCTGTGGCCCCCTCCGGAGCAGGGGGCCCCCCCATTGTGGCTGAACCCAACTCATATGTTCCGTCATCATCCCACACCATCCCATCCTATCCACATCCCTCTAATCCACCAGCTTCCTCCTACCCCAGCTTGAACTTTTTGTCCCCCGGACATCACCACCGCGCCCTCTCCGTCTTTCACGTAACCCGAAACTCTCTTAAACGCCTCCCCCCACCTCTTAAGACCTTTATTCTACTGTTTCTTTTCATCCATTTCCCTCATTGCGCCTTTGTATGCATACATACATCTAATCCCATGCGACCTGCCTTAAAACCGTCTCAGGCCTTGCGCCGTTGATCGACATTTCCGAGACCAGCAAACATGTTTGGAGGTTCGAGGCGCCACCGGCAGGCCAACCAGGTATGTCATAATCGCTGCGAACTGACGCTGCTTTGCCTACAGTTTGACTGCCGTCATCCACTACATTTATACGATTCACGGCGACGCATCCGTTCGCAACTGGTGCTCCAGGGAACCAGTTTTGCTTTGATACTGACAGTCTACGATTCCAGCCGTTGACCGCCGCTACCGCAAACCCAAACGCCGCCACCGCCGCCGCCTCAGCATTCGCGCGACGCGCGTCCACCTCTTCCCTCTCATCAGCCGCCGCAGCCGCAGCATTGCGGTCGCGACCCACGACGCCAATCAATGTGGCCGAAGTACAGACGAAGCGCACACAGAAGCGCAGCGCATCGGTATCGTCGCATGGGAGCCAGGACACGAGAAGAGGGCTGCAAAGGTCCCCTAGTCAGAGCTCCATGACCGAGCGGACGTTCCGCTCGCCGTCTCCGCACAGGACTCCAATGTCCCCCGTTGATGCGCCGCCCGTCCCGGCCATTCCGGACGATGTGCGATCAATCACAAGCCAGAGTTCCTCCCACAAGAGAGGTACCAGTCTGCAGATGCAGCCGTTCCGCGTTGCAAGTCAGAAGAACAAAGAGGGTGCCGGATCATGGTTTGGGGCCGCGGTCGAGGGCAATTTGGCCAACGTCAGGAAGTCAGATGACCCAATACGCGTCGTCTCTCTAGAGTCACGCCCGGGAGCTGTAAGCCCAACTTCTTCTGTAAACTTTTCATACCCGAGGATGCCCGGCATATCGCCCCCGGCATCGCCAACCTTCGAGAGCATGAAAATGACAATTAGCCAGCGACTTGTCTCGCCCCGCCCAACAGAGTCGGTGACCTCGCGGACGACGACCACCTCAGAACAATCCCTTGTTTATGATCCAAATTCCAGAAGAATGGTCCCCAAGGTGGATGCGTTGCCACGGGAGCAGGTTGTTCGGGATGCTGCTGAGAAACCCGTTAAGAAGAAGAAGCAACAGCAAGGACTGGCAAGGAGCGGTTCTCACCTAGCAAAAGGCACCGTTGGCAGAGTGCATGGTTCTGCGGTCGCCTCTGCGGAGGCTGCGCCCATGCCTGCGCCAAGGCAACAACCACAAGTCCGCGCACACACCGATGCTCCCGACCAAATGACTTTGGAGAATCAACCGCATATTGAAGAAGCCGCGCAGCGGACCCCGGCGCAAAGACAGACACCGGAGCCCGCGCCAGCTCTTGCGTCCTCTGCAACCAGCGGACCTCACACGACTGAAAGCACCGGGCCAACTCACCAACAGCCTGCTGGTAGTCCTGCGGTCGAGCAGCCGGTCGTTCGCGATGTTCAAAAAAGTGATGGGGCCTCGACTCTGCCCCACCCAGAACCCCGTCAAGGCGCCCCTGTTCTAGGAAGAAAACCATCCACGGTTCAGGAGGAATCAGAGGATGAGTTGGCAAGCTCAAACGACGAGGCTGAACACAGCCAACAGCCAGTTGTGCATCGTACAGTTGCTGATGTTATCGAAGTAGTACCCATGAGGTCATCAGCGCCAAAACAGCCATCCTTATCGTCCGAAAGCACGATTGTTGAGGCCCCAGCAAATGTGTCATCCCAAAGGCAACCAAGTCCACCACGCTTGAAGCAACCCGGCAGCATCAGGAATGCACGTGCGCAATCTGCCAGTCCTGTACGATCAGCGCGCTTCGCACTGGGCGCAGATCGGCTGGTCATCAGGCACGAGCCGCCACCCAGATCAGTCTCGCCCCGAAAATCGGCCATGAAACACTCGACTAGCCCATCTCGCGGCGCCTCGCCTTCAGATGATGGCTCTGAAGCATCAGGGCCAAGTCGATTTGGCAGCGAGGCTACCGCAGTGGAGGCACCAATGCCACGCAAGAAGAGTGTGCGTGTCAGCTTTGATGATGAGAATACCAAGGTTGTGGGACAATCAGCCGCAAAAACGGAGTTTGACTCGCCAATTCTTCCTAGTCCTCAGCAGGCCAAACGGCATTGGTTTAATCATCTGGGCAGAAACAAGAAGAAGGACACTCTTGCTCTAGACGACGATGAGGTCATGAAGCCTCGGCCAGCGCTGCCCTCGTTTGGCAGCGTTCGTGAAAAGAAGCCAAGAGATTCTGAGGAAGAGCGACCTCTTGTCCGGCCTCTCGAGTCACCCTCGCCATCCGGGCCTGATGCCCCTGAACGCAAACCAGACCGGTCTGTTCCGACCGGCCAGTCCATCGACCACAACGTCGGTATGGTTCTCAGTCAGGAACAGACGGCCAGAAATGCTGCGAACATATCGAGGTTCAGGGAGCCGTTACCGCCCGTAGTCACTTCCTTAGAGGGCAGTGGTTACTACTCTCCCAGCAGCACAAGTAACTCCGACGCCGAGGATGGAGATGATATTTTTCAGGACTCGGATGTTTTTCAGGAGCCTGAACCTACTATGTCTCCTGAGCAAGTCAAGGGGGAGATTGCAGCCGTTCAGCCTGATTTGACCGTTGAGACACCCGTCCCATCGATCCAGATGGCGCCAGTAGTTGGAGAAGATAGCCGAGACCACAGGGAGGAAGACATCCCTTCAATATCTGTCATACAACCGACTCCGATCCCTAAGGAGACGGAGGCCAACCGTTCAGCAAGCTTGTCTGAGCAAGGCTACTTCGATGTTCCTGGAGGGTTTCCGGAGGACGAGAGCGAGGACAACGCTTCTCACCCTAATGTCCAGCCGGGAATAACCATCGTGAACAAGGACCAACCGGCACAGCCGACAGGATCCAACGGCGGAGTGGATTCTTCTTTCAAAACCGCCCACCACTTAGCCCCCGTGACAGAATCGGAGTCGGAAGATGAAAGTATCTATAGCGACGCCTACGAGGATCTTTCGGACGTCGATGGGGATGGCTTCATGTCTTTGGACGCCGTCATTGCATCCCCCATTCAAGACAAGCTCCCTCATAAACACTACCAGAAACCAGTAGAAAAGACGTCTCAGCAGACGCCGGAGAACTCTGGCGTCACCATGTCCCAAAACGACACCCGATCTTCAAATGTCTCCGGCAGCCCGCGGCGGCCTGAAGATCAGCCTGAAGATGAGTGGGAGAGGGCCAAACTTTTTTGGAGGGGATTGACAAGAGATAAGCGAAAGCAGTTGGAACAGGAGGCTCTAGAGGAGGCCGGGGCCGAAGGAGATCTCGAAGAAGTCATACAGCCTGTAAAGGTCAAGAGAAAGAAGTCTGTTCGGAAAAGCGACCCGGCAACACAACAACAAGCGTCTGCTAATCCAGAGCGGGTCTACCAGATTCGGCCTGGAACGCGAGCTATCGATGAAGAGGATGAAAAAGACTCCCCCGCAACTCTGCGAAAGACTCTTCGAGATCAACATGGTCAAGAAACTGGGTCTGCAAATGGAAGGCTCCAGAAAACGAGGCGTGGTGGTCAGGCTCAAACATCGCCAGCTTCTGGTGCAGGCATGCGAAAGACATTGCGATCAGACGCCGCGGGCTCTCAGATCGTTCATCCATCGCAAGCCACTGCTATGAATGGCTTGAGGAAGTCCATGAGGCAGAACGGTTCACCCCCCCAAGCAGGGCTCGCACCTCAACCTGGGATTAATCCAACAGCCGACAGCCGGCCAGTCTCTCTCCAAGGCCCTCCGTCGGGCCAGGATTCCCGGTCCAAAAGTCTCTCCATGGATAACTCATTGTCGAGTGTCGAAATGGCAAAAGCTATGCAAGCGACTCTCCGTCGTCGTGCATCCGACTCTAGCGAAAGCAGCTTTCGACGCGCCCGTCCCAAACAGGAAGGCTTCGGTTTCCGCAAATCTATGAGAACAAATACAGAGACCGACCTGTCGGCAACCGGTAGAAATCCGCGGATCAGTCTGCGGTCGATATCTCCTCCCGCTTCGCCCATTTCACGACCTGTCAGCATGGGCAACCGGACGACTATGCGCGGCACGTTGCGCAGCGACTCCAGCGACGGAAGTACGAGGCGTATGCGCCTGCCCACATTTGGAAAGTCTTCGTCGACGAAGAAGGCTGCTGGCAAATTTGGCAAGAGTCGGTTTGGCGACTCAAGCGACGAGGATAACGCTGGACAGTCCGGGTTCCGCAGCCGCTTTGCCGAATCCAGTGATGAAGATGAAGTATCGGCTCCTGCACCTGTCACTCACAGCATGCCCAAAAGCATGCGCGCGTCGAGTTCTGCCGCGGCCGCGGCGATGAAGGTCCCTCCTAGCCACAACAATGAAAAAGCAGAAGAGTCCCCGGACCTGCCTGACAGCAGTGATGAGGAGGTGGTGCGGTCACCAGCACAGCAAAAGCCCCTCTCCCCGAGAAGGGCCTCCGGCGCTAGCGGTCGTCTTGTGAAACCTCAGTTGGACGGACAAGGGCTGCACCGTCCGGGCTCTGGACGCGGCGCACTCGCCGAGTCTACAACGCCCGCTATGGGTACTCAGGTGATGTCCCGACCGGACAGTCATCAACGCCGTGGCAGCTTTCTTTCCGTCCTGCTACGCAAGAAGGATAGCGAAGCCGGCAAGATCTTGCGGCCCGCTGCCAGTGAGAGTGGTGCAAGGATGGACACCAAACTAGAACGCAGCGCCTCCGAGTTATCAGCCCTTCGAGGAGCGACCCCGTCGTCGAAGCCGCAGAAGCGGACAACACACGATAACTGGCCGCTCGTCGAGACCATTGATGACGAGAAGCGACCCATTACAGCAGACAACAACAGGCCGATGGATGCATCGAGGCCAGTATTCATGAAGCGTCGCAGCACAAATCAGGTGCTCATCTCGGGCCTGTCCAACGACCGAGAGGGCAGTGTCCAACTTGATAGCTCTGGGAAGAAGAAGAAGAAATTTGGCACGCTCCGGCGTATGTTTAAGCTGGAGGACTAGAGGTCGAGTATAATGCGCTCAGATGTTTGCTGCATGCCTTGATCACCAGCATCTTTTTCCCCAGAGAGCCTTGCTCTGGCTTAGCGCGCACACACACAGAGGACTGTCGCATTTCTGCAACGACAGCAGTTCCGGCAATCACATATCGCATTTATTTAATATTAGCCAGCTCCTCCGCCTTGAGACGCTTGGCTTGTAGCTTTCATTCATTTAATCGTCACCATCATTAACGGCGGGAGCAGGCGTTCTTTGGAAGTCCCGCGTGGATTGATGGGGGAGGGGGCCGACTCTTCTCACACGACACTACGACATATATACATATTCGCATACACATCGCCTCAGAACGCGCCTTATTCTTTACGTTATTTCACACAATATGCGGCCTTTCCGCAGACAGCAACACCGGCCAAGGTGGCGAGCCGTTTCGACACAGGGGGGGGGGGGGGCGTACACAGGGGAATCGGGAAACTGGAAAAATAAGGGAGGGAAACGTTCACGCTAAGGGGAAAGTGGCTGGGAAAACGCACATGTGCACAATGCTCTCTTTAATAATGTTACAATGATATCAAACAGCAGCCGTGGGGTAATTAAGCCATACTCGAATCAAACATCATCGTTGATGCCGCAATCCGACTTATTCCGTTATCGTCCTCTTCAGGAGTAGCTCGCATTGATGCCATTCTTTGACCCGGTCTCCTGGAAGATTCTTTAGCGCCATCATGCTAGGATAGTTCTGATGGGATTTGCTGTGGGGGGTCCTCGCTCTCGCTTTGCCTCGTTGTCCAAAGCGAGCAGGGCATCATATCCCGTGACGATGCAGAGCCACAGCCTTCTTCTTGAAGGAGGAGGGGGGGGGGGGGCTGAAAAGAACCGGCAAGTCCTTGATTACCGGAGTTTGCGGGTACAACGTTCCCCATGACAAAGCCTCGCGCGCCAGCCCGTATCATTGGCGGCGGCGTGAGGGTATCCGACCCGAATGGCAAAGATCTCCCGGCAACGGGGCACGATCCTTCCGCGGGTTGAGATGGCATCTTGGCCAACCAAGCAGCTGTTTTGACCTCTGTAATCGTCCATGAGCCGGCAAAGGCCAGGTATCATCAGCATTAACACCATACTGCAATGGACCTGGTTTGATAAAACCGTCGTCAAAGCTGTTTTCGACAATAGTATTGTACCACTAGCCCTTGCCCGAACGGGTGCTTCGAGAAGGAACCGAATCTAACGCCATGGTGGGTGACCGCTCCAGCCCAAGCGGGCTAGGACGGTTCATGGTTTGATGGTCAGTCAGTGGGCGGCATTTCGTAGAGCCATTAGCGCGTTGGCCCTCGACCGAACGTCCCATACATCAGACGCCGTTCTAGGGGAGGGGTCGACTGGTGTTTTGCTTTGACCTTTATGTTGTCATGAATCGTTTGTCGGCCGGAGAAGGATGGCGGAGGGCCCCGGGAGGCTGTGAGATACAACAAGCGAGCTTGTTTAAAGTCTACCTCATTAGCGTTTGCGCAGCGCGGTGTCACTTTTATTATCCCGTGCTACTGACTGGCACAAGGAAGCCTCGGCTGTTTGTCGTATTGTCCTCATCTCGGCGGATTCGAGTCGTCTTTTGTCATGGTAGCCTTTGCACTTGCGTCGACCAACATGGGGTGAGCTTGCCGACCGAGAAAAGGAGGCGGGAAGGGAGGTCATGACCATGGTCCATGATGCACTGCTCGCGAGACGGCACGTCATCCCCACTTCCCCGAGAGTGACAGCGAGGGTGGCAGGTTGTGTCCGGACTTTTGTCAAGTGATGAGCCAATAATTCCATGCATTGCCGTTCCGGGGAAGAGTTATGGTGTCGCAAGGTGGCGGCGCCTGGTCACCCGACGTGGCTCTTGTATGCTCCCCCGCATTGAAAGCGATCAGAAGACCACGGTGACAAGGGGAAGTTGGGGAACGGAACGGGGGCCGCGCGAGATCGGAAAAAGAAAACGTCGATTGCCTACATAGGTAGTAGTTCGGCCCTGGTACAAAGGTTTGTGAGGCACGCCGAGCCACGTTCTGCAGAGCGCTTCGTTTGGTTTGGTTCGGACAAAGGGTAATTTCAGCAGTCTCGTGGTCGGTGAGAAAAAGACGTGTATGTGGTGTGATGTGACTGGAGCTCTTGAACTATCTTCCCCTTCCCAGTCTCCACACCTCCAATCCTTCCACACTTGGATCTTGCACTATGAGCCGCTGTCAGGGCACGTCAATTCAGAACCAACAGCTCTTGAGCTGTTTCGGGAGGGTGATGGGGAGCGGTGAGAAGGCAGCTGTGTTGTCGGTGAGCAATGCGCCGTAAACCGTGATGAGCAACGGTTACCACGTTGGGTCCCGGCAAAATTTGTTGTCTCGGCGAAGGCCGGAATTGGACCAGCGGGGGACATGCGCCAGGCCATATATTTGTACATACACTAGTGGACTGCCATGGCGTGTATGGCAACACGTGTATCCGTAGTTTTGCTGGGGAGAGCCGCCCCTTGTGGGTACATGTCGGCCGAGTATTCGTAGGGCATACCATATCCAGGCGGCAGCTGGGAATCGTCCTAACCAGTTGGCCGGGCTTGCTTCGGGATGGACGTTTAGTCGGAAGCAAACGCAGAGAGGTGTGCGTGGCACGACGTGACCTTTCCGCCTCTTCACCCGTCTTTAGCAAGGCATGAGCACCCGTAAGCGTGGAAAAGTGTGGGGGGCGTGCTGCTTCGTCCCATGTGATATCCGCAAGAACGGCTATTGGACTCGGCCAGTTGCTATCTTGTCATTTGAGCCAGCAGGTATTACTCCGTACATCGAATTGAAATATGACGGGCGGGCCTGGAGGTCGGGTGTGTGGCAGATGTTGGGATGTAGGGTTGATGCCGGACGGCTCCCAAGTCCCAGGGGGCGAACACCACCAGAGGTCACCAATTTGTTCTAGAACGCCATTTTCTGGGGACGTGGGGGCCGCATCCCTGCTGGGGTTACCTATTTTCGCGGTTTACTATCCGTACCTACTACGTATGTGTGACCCTGGCTTCCGAAAGGCTTTGCACATACCGTACAATGTATCCGTACTGCTGTAAGGCTTGCTTCCCCTCCTGGTCGCACACTGTAGTAGTCGGCGACGGTGGCGGGCGTGCATGTACGATGGTGCTCTGCAGGGAGGCGGCGAAGGATTACCTAACCAGATGTGTGCCTTTGAGATGGCGTATGCCGGCCGTGGAAGGGTTTGTTTAGTGGCAGTTTGCATCAGTCTTGATATCGGTAGACGACCCATTTTTTCACTGCTTGCCCAGGTTCCCGCCCCCAAGACGATGTGTGTCTCGCCGGGGCAAGGCGGCAGTCGGGATTGGCTAGTAGTATGGGGGTGATGCCGGTTGCTTCTCACGATACGACCGGGGGATCTGATATACAGGAAATTACTGTAACCCAGCCGGCCCCGTCTTCAGGCTCGCAGCGGCTGGAGGACAACCAAGCGAGGGTGTGGCCTTGCTGGTGGTTCCTTGGTGGTGTCGAAGAGCTTTGCGGGTGCGCGTGTTCTTATCAGGCTCTGAAAAGACATGTGTCGAGACAACCAGGACGGTGGTCACAGGCGGGACCCAAGGCTGACTGAAGGTTGATTTGGACATGGCTAATACGATGGTATCCGGCCGAAGTTTATGACCCCTGTTAGGTAACTAACGCTCACCCCCCTACTACAGGACTTCACTTTTGGTGAATATTCCTCCCCTATCATGATATCAGCTGTGGGGGGTAACATCATAGGGGTCATTAACTTGCCCCTGCCACCCTGTACATGCATGTAATGGCAGTAGGTATGTATGTTATCGTGGGTGGGGGAGTCAAAAGACGCGAAGACGAAGCATATCTATCACCGGTCTAGAGCTTGATGGGCCGAGGTCCAAGGCCATGCTCAGGTCCGGTCTCAATTGGCGATGAATTCTCAAACTCTTTGGTGACATGAGGTACGGAGCGGAGGCGAAAAGCACATGCGGAAGACGAGGAGGAGGAGCTTGCTTTTGGAGGTCAAGTTGGTGGGTAGGATGAGTGGTCGCTAAGATAAGCTCAGGTAGGTAGGTGTAGGATAGTGTGTACCTGGCGCGGAATGGAACTAACGTCGGGTAGCCTCAATCCACTGCGCCTGTAGTACTACTTAACCGCTACCTACCCACCCAGCTGCATAAGCAAGACATATGCCTAATTGATACAAGTACCTAGGTACTGGGCAGTACACAGTACCTGCACCACAGCAGGCGGCGAGGCCGTGTTTGGGCGTGCGTTCAAGTCACAACTGAAGCGTGCGCAAGAAGCCGGTCAGGTGTTGCTCTCTCGCTCTCACTTACTACGTAGCTATCTTTGCATGCGCTGCCCCCTTCTCTGCGCAGTGTTCAGGGCGGAGTCTTCTTAGCTTGAATGCTGCCGTCACCCGTCGCCGTCCCCCCGTCTCAAAGCCCCGTTTTCTCCCTAACCCGGCAGCGGCTTTCGGGTTCTACGAGGACCTGGAGCGACGTCTAGTCGGGAGGGGATCTGGAACAGCACAAGGGGGAGAGGGAGAAATCACGCCCTTTGGTAAAGGGATGAAAGTCAACTTATCTAGGTAGATCCCAAGGTAGAATGCCACAGTGTCGTGATCGGGCCGTCCACGTTTGTTGTGCTTGGTCTGCGGAGAGACCGAAAGAGAAGCCCGAGAACCGAGCCTAACCTGGGCCACGACCGTCCCTATCCTTATGGGGCTCATGCCTCGCATTTCATCAGACAGAATATGCACCCTGAACCTACCTGGCAGAGACATCGGTCAGCCCAAGGAAGAGACGACGGGCAGACCCATCCCGAGAATACCTTGCTTGCGCCATCCGCCATCCGTCCCTTCTGTTCCTGCTTTCCTCCCCCCTCCCCACTCTCGTGCCCATGTCCCTGGTCGGTCCCAAGTCCCCTGCTATTAGGTACCTACCTAGGCTGGATAGTGGGTAGGTAGTTTAGCAGGCGAAAGAGCATATTAGGTAC